ATGAAAAGAGTTTGTCTGGGATGGAGGGGAGTGGGGGAGAAGGCAGCCGGTGGTGCAGCTGAGGGCTGCTTGGTTGGAGCTCTTGTAAGTCTGATGCAGCAATGGCTGAGGAAGACCCACCCTCCGCCTAATCCCAAACGACACCTGCCCTGTGAGGAGGGTGAGGAAGGCAGGCACAGACAAAATCAGGGCCTGCTCCAGAAGGACAGTCAACTCCCTGCCCTCACCATCTTTACATGTTATGTAATTTGTTTTAGTCCTTTAAAACTTGACTGGTTTGGGTGCCTTTACAGAAAGGCAGCATGTAAATGCAAAGAACGAACGAATAATCAGTTCAGTGCTGTTCTGCCACTAAAAAAAAGAAAAGAAAAAAGAGGAGATGTGATGAAAATGAAGGAACGGTGAACATTTTGCCTTCTTCCTCACCTGTCAGTATTTTTTTCATTTATAATTCAATAAATTCAATAAATTTCATTTATAACCAGGGCGGTTCACAGAACAAAATCAGATTATAAAACCACAAAATATATAATCAAAATAAAAACAACAACCCAATAAGCCCCCCCCCCCCAAACCCCACATTTTAAACCTGTGGGCCTGTATTCCCCTTTGCTGCAGATGCTGATTTGCTGCCAATAAAAGGTTGGTAGCTTGGACCACAGGTACCCCTTATAGCAAAGGTTTCCTCTTTGGGGTTTTATGGCTGTTGTCATGGTGACTTGGGTCACATCCATACCACAGATTTGAAGCACATGGCTTCCCCTAAGGAATCCTGGGAACTGTGGTTTGTGAAGGGTGCCGGGAATGGTAGAGTTCCCAGGATTCCTTGGGAGAAACTCATGTCTGTTGAAGTGGTGTAAATAGGTGCAAAAAGCATAGGAACACAGGAAGCTCCCTTATATCGAGTCAGGCCATTGGTCCATCTAGATTAATACCTTATACGCTGTCGGGCATGGCTCTCTTGGGTTCTCTGCCAGCCCTACCTGGGAGATGCCAGGAATTGAACCTGAGAACTTCTGCATGCAAAGAAGATGTTATATCACGGAGCTCCAGCCCTTCCCCCTGGGTTCTCTTTGTTCCAACTGGTGCTGGGCATTGGGGTGTGTGTGGAAACAGTCTGCTACAGAAACTGATGGCCAGCATCTGCTTTGAGGTTGGTGGCTGTGGGCCATCTGCTCTCTTCAAGCCATTCATCATCTGAAGTCACTGAGGGGTCAGGCTCGGCAGTTACATTGTCAGCAGATAGTCAGCCAGTGTTGCTGCGCTCATAAACACCAAATTTATGGATGCAGAAAGGAGCAACATTGCAACCTGTTTAAACGCAATCATGCGTGTGGCTCTTACGCTTTGTCTCTCTTCTCTTTCCCCACAGCTCCTTACTTCAGGGAAACTAGAGGAAACTTAAGAAAGGAGGAAACGTGACTGTGTTGCTGGTGAAACAAATGTTTGTGGCAAATGGTACCAGAACTGTATCTTGTTTCCTCATAAAGATGCTGAAGGTGACTTAAATTGCTACTCAGGAGACAGTGATACTGGCAGACTTGCAATAACAACAGTGCTCTTAGCAGGTACCATCTTTTCTATATAGGATTTTGGAAGCCATTCAGTTATTTTGGTAATTAGCATTGATGGGGGAAAAATGTCAAGGAAGACAACAAGATAATTGACATTTCTTTTTTGGTATCCAGGCCAACTTTTTTATTCTTTTAAACCCAATTTATATATTGATGGATCGCTGGCCAAAAAAAGAGAATGTCCAGGACATTTTATACTCTAGCTTTAGCCAACATGCTTGCTTTTGAGGCAGATGCTGGCTGCAGTTTTATATACATTTACTAGGGGTTGGAGCAATTCCCCGGTGATGAAAGGTTGCAGGACTTGGGCCCTTTTAACATTTAGAGGAAAGCTAAGTTGGTAAGGGGCATGACTGCGGAGTATAAAATTATGCATAGTGTAGAGCAATGGATACAGAGTCCCCCCCCCCCTTTGATAATACAGTAGTACCTTGGGTTAAGTACTTAATTCGTTCCAGAGGTCCGTTCATAACCTGAAACTGTTCTTAACCTGAAGCACCACTTTAGCTAATGGGGCCTCCTGCTGCTGCTGTGCCGCCGGAGAATTTCTGTTCTCATCCTGAAGCAAAGTTCTTAACCTGAAGCACTTTTTCTGGGTTAGCGGAGTCTGTAACCTGAAGCGTATGTAACCTGAAGCGTATGTAACCCAAGATACCACTGTACTGGAATATAGGGATTTCCAATGGAGTTGAATGATGGAAGATTCTGGACAGACAAAATAAAGCACTTCTTCAGACTGCACCTAGTTAAAACTATGGACCTCACTCCTGCAAGAGGTGCTATTGGCCATCAACCTGGATGTATCCTAATGAGAATTAGAGAAATTTATGGAGGATAAGGCTATGTTCTACATTCACAGTGGGAGGCAATATGACTCTGAATCCCTGTCGCTGGGAATCACAGGTAAGGAGAACATTGTTGTGCTAAGGTTCTCCTTGAAGGCTTCCCGCAGGCATCTGATTGGCTACTGTGAGAGCAGGATGCTGGACTATAGACAGGCCTTTGGCCTGATCTAGCAGGGCTTTTCTTATGTTCTCAAACTTAGGGCGAAAGCAACTACAGTTTAAGTATTTGTAAGTACAAATGTGAACACAAATCACAGGAGCTACTGTATTCTTAAGTTTTTTAGAGCACAAGGGGGCTTTTTCGTCCCTGAAGCCCTAAAAAGATACAAGGCCAAAACGTTGGCACAGCTCCTCTATGGATCCTTTCTCTGCTTTCTCCCCCTGTGAGAGAGTTCAATCCAAACTCCTTAGAGCTCTCCTACAAGTCCCCAGATGCATTTCAAATGCATGGGTTAGACTAGAAAAGGGGATGGTGAGAGTGGAGGCTTATATCTGCCTAACATCAGTCTACAAATGGCTGACATTGAATCTGCTCCCCCAAGGAATAGCCCCACTGATCCTCTGCAACCAGTTCCAGTCAGGCTGGCAGACAGCAGTCCTGAACACCCTTCAGAAACTGGGTGTTGCCCCTCAAGCCCTTCTAAGTCTGGGGTTGGACCAGGCAAAAGCTACGGTCAGACAAAGAATCATAGACACCGAGAGACAACAGGACTGCTCAAGGTGCCCCGACTATAAAATTGGAGAAATCAAGAGATATATAGCCGCACCGGCAGCATATCTCTTCTTTCTCGTACCCAAAAATGGAAGAAGAGCTTTTACACTTGCCAGAAGTTCGGCTATGCACTCGCTGGTCCTGGAAGGATCCTTTAAAAAAGTCCCATATGCTCAGAGACTTTGCACCTGCCCATTGGGAGATATAGGAAGCCCAGAGCACTTGTTCTTTAGATGGCCCTTTTATGAAGAAGCATGTAGTGAGACCATTGATCCCCTGCTGGTGAGGCTTGCTGACCTCCCGAAAAAGCAAAAATTCGACCTTTTCCTGTTAGGCAAAGATCATAAGAAGACCTGGATGGTTGCCAGATTCTGTATACAGATTTGTAGGCGCAAACCACCCCCCAACTCAAACTAGTTCGTTAAGAAAATCCTCAAACTCGGTTCCATGGGTGACTTTGGGTCATCTCTCTGCGGTAGCTTATCTTAAAGTTTTAAGCGTCTATATGCTTATTGCATTTATAAACTTTAAATTTATTGTTGTACATTTTTAAAATGTTTGTTTTCCTTCTGGGATTGTACCCCCAAATGTTTTATGAGCTGGTCTCTGACCGTAATAAATTATCTATCTAACACAGGAGCTACTTTGAAATTCATTCTGGTATACATTTCATGAACCTTTATTCATATGTCCATGTGGAAAATCTGTTTTAGAGTTCCTATTTTAAAAAAATAAAAAAAGTGGGGGGGGGGGGAGAGAACTGCAGACAGTACAATTTTTCAGCCTGAAAGAACAACTTAGCCACAACAGGGTGAATAAAAATGCTCCTTTGCTGAGGTAGGTGGTTTCATCTGTAAAAACACACAAGAGACACATTTTTGGCAGCTCTGGCTCTGGCTGCAGTCTACCTAGTGCAACCCACCACTGTTTTCTAGGACAGCAACTCAAGTCACAGCCAAGAAGGATGTTAGTTGAACGACCTTATACTGTCGAGCTAGCAGAAAGTTTCTGCACAAAGAGATGGCACAGTGGAGTTCCCTTGTGATCCGAGGCAATGTGCACCCAACTGCAAGGACAGGAATGGGAGATTAAAGAAACAAGCTGAAGGTTTTCCTACTACTTTGCTATTTGACACCCAGCACAAAGCAAGCCTTGCAGTGCCTTGCAGTGGTGAAGTTGGGAGAGAGCAAGGTTCAGTTTACACAAGAACACAGACTTCCAAACTGCAGCCACTCAGTTAAAATGTGAGTCTCGACGTCGATAAAGATGCTTGAGTGGCACATTTAGTACTTATGTCCTGGTAGGAAGTTTTATTTCTTTTGTGGTCAATCTGAACTCAAAAGTATTTAATACTGATGTTACTACTAATAAAGATCGCTCGGTCTTTTGCTGGCATCACCCATGAGGCAAGGTGAGGTGACTGCCTCAGGTGGCAGAATCCACAGGGGCAGCAGATTTGGCTGGGGGTGGGGAACTGCAATTTTGGTGGTTTGTTTCAGGTGCCAAAATGTCTTGGGCCAGCCCCGTTTCACACAATGCAGAAGCCTAGCCTAACTTTTATCTCTTTTAACATTCTTACATTTAGGAGTCCTCCTCCTTGAACTGTGCACTGTGTGAGTGAATGATTTTATTTGGTCTGTTGTGAACCTTTCAGCATTTAGCTGCATTGGGTGGCTGCAGGTTCTAGTATTATGAGACACACCCAAAAATTTCTCGCTATGCATGCATAAGTTTATACACCCCTAACATGTCTTTCTTCTAAGCACCAAACCACCACAAATATGCACAAACAGATGCTTCTCCAAAAAAACACACACAAGCTAACAGTTAAATGCCTCTGTAAGCAATAGCTTTCTTTTTTCTTTTTTTAAAGATTCCTTTAAGAGTAAAATTGCCAGCCTCAGTTAAGGAGGGAGGTCATGACTCTCGCTCCACAGAAATAAGCATCTGCATACAGGCTCATTGCTCAAGTCAATTCTTCAATGACAGCAAGATAAACTGGTCAGACAAACAGAGGCGAAATGTTTGCAGGGAAGAAAGTCTCCACCTGGGTCAAAGTCTCCTCCTCCTCTGTCTTCTTAATTGGAAATGTGCATTCAAGTGCAGGAACACAGATTGAGCAAACACTGGGCCAAAAAAGAGAACAGGATGCTTAGTTCTAAGATGGAGGGCAGGGGTTCTGAGAGATTGCACTCAGGTTGCAAACAAAGGAAGGCAGAACAAATTCTTTAAAAGGCCATAAGCAAAATGGGGAGGGCAGTGCAGCCTTTGTTGATGCCTTGGGTCCTATCCAGCCAGGTGCCTGTGACAAGGCACACACACACACACAAAATCCTGTGGCAATGAAGGAGGTAGCTGGAGTTAAGGTAATTGAACTAGACTTCCGGTTTTGGCCTGGATGTTAGGAAAACCATAATGGAAGGAAGATACAAGTGGAAGGAAGGTACAAGTCTGAAAGAAAAGGGTTACTGGCTGCATTGCTCTGCCTTTCATCGTTTCCTTTTCCTGGTATCATAGTAGATGCCCCAGACACAAAAGATCTCTGTTGTATCAAAACAGCATTGGTATGAATAAACAGCACGTTCCTAAATTGCGGAAATATTTCTTCTAAAAACAAATGTTTCTAACCGTGACAGACTTGAGATAATTAAATGATAAAATGAAACAATTTCTTTGGTAGTTCACAGTTTAAGGAATATCAGCCAAATATGTAGCCACCTGAAATGGAGACAATGGGTTGTATCAAATGGTGTCTCTTCTCTGATGGAAGGCCCTTCTTTGATCCAGTGAAGGTTTCCATCAGTGGAATGGAAAGTCTGTTCTTGTCCATTCCCTCTTCTTCCATAGCCCCTGCCCTGCCCATATCTACCCTTAAGGACTGGGGGACAGACCATTTGAAACAATGCTAGAGAGGTATGGTGTAAAGAAGGGAACAAATTGCCAGCTCACCACACTTTTACCATTGGCCCAAATTCTTTCAGCCCTTGAATTTTATTTTCGCAACTAGCTCTCTTCTGTAGTAATATATTTTGTTTGATGTTCCTGAGAAAGTAAGTTACCTGAAGTTTGTAGAATGTAAAAAGAACTCTTCTGGATCAAGACAAAGGCCAATTGCCAATCTAATCCACTCTCCTTTCCTCGCAGTGGCCAGTCAGGACACCTCTTGGAAGCCTGCAAGCAGTTCCCAATTGCAGCAGCACTCTTTCCATTTCTCAGGAACTGGTAAAGATTACCTATGAAGCGCTATCTATCTGCTCCCCTGAAGGAATAAAGTTTCTCTAGATCTTAACTGATAGCAGTAGAAAGGGCATGTAAATGGTTGAGCAGCAGTATACAGTATATATACTGTATATACAGTATATACAGTAATTGTATCCATAACTGACAAAGTATACTAGCAGAGAAATACAAGATTGCCTCAGTTTTAAAGAGAAAAAAAATAGCCCAATAGATCAATTAGGCACTAGCAAGAAGTTGCAACAGGCAAGAAAAAGCAAGCCTGCAGAATGAACTTTGTGTGTAGAGGCCAAACAATATATTTCTTTTCGAAGGAAATTCCTACACACCTCCTTTCAGTAAAAAAGGTAAAGGACCCCTGGAGGGTTAAGTCCGGTCACACTTGACTATGGGGTGCGGCGCTCATCTCACTTTCAGGCTGAGGGAGCTGGTGTTTGTCCGCAGACAGCTTTCCAGGTTATGTAGCCAGTATGACTAAACAGTTTACAGTGCAACGGGACACCACTGACAAGTGCCAGAGCGCACGGAAACGCCGTTTATCTTCTTGCCACAGTGGTACCAATTTATCTACTCACGCTGCTGTGCTTTCAAACTGCTAGGTTGGCAGAAGCTGGGACAGAGAAACAGGAGTCCCTGTTGTGCAGACTCAAACTGCCAACCTTCTGATCAGCAAGCCCAAGAGGCTCAGTGGTTTAGACCACAGTGCCACCTGCTCCCACTAAAAACTGTGGTACATTAACTCCATCTATGGATGAGAGGGGGCGATGTTGCCAGCATAACTGGGAGAATACTGGGAGAATAACTAGATCACTGGATTCCCCTCATTTTTTTTAAAAAAAAGATATTTATTAAGATTTTCAAAGTATTACAAAATAAAAAAAGAAAAAATAAAAATACAAAATAAAAATAGTTAAAAACAATTCAGTCTTTCAATCACTTATCTTTCATTTGCTTATTTCCCGGACCTCCTCACGCCTCCCTTTTCTGTATTCCAATTCAGTTTGTTAGTTCAGCAAATCCCTCCCCTCTTTGTTTATCCTAGTCTTCAATCTTAAAGTATTGTAACATTAGATTTTTACCTATTAATAGTCCATTTTTTTCATATTCCCTTATAACATTACAGCTAAAAACCACTTAGTTTCTATCCAACATCATTCTAACATTCATTAATTTTACAATATTTCTGTAAATAGTCTTTAAACTTTTTCCAATCTTCTTCCACTGACTCTTCTCCCTGGTCTCGGATTCTGCCAGTCATTTCTGCCAGTTCCATATAGTCCATCACCTTCATCTGCCATTCTTCCAAGGTGGGTAGATCTTGTGTCTTCCAATACTTTGCAATAAGTATTCTTGCTGCTGTTGTAGCATACATAAAGAAAGTTCTATCCTTCTTTGGCACCAATTGGCCGACTATGCCCAGCAGGAAGGCCTCTGGTTTCTTTAGAAAGGTATATTTAAATACCTTTTTCATTTCATTATAGATCATCTCCCAGAAAGCCTTAATCTTTGGGCACGTCCACCAAAGGTGAAAGAATGTACCTTCGTTTTCTTTACATTTCCAACATTTATTATCGGGCAAATGATAGATTTTTGCAAGCTTGACTGGTGTCATGTACCACCTGTATATCATTTTCATAATATTCTCTCTTAGGGCATTACATGCCGTAAATTTCATACCTGTAGTCCACAACTGTTCCCAGTCAGCAAACATAATGTTATGTCCAACATCTTGTGCCCATTTAATCATAGCAGATTTCACCGTTTCATCCTGAGTATTCCATTTCAACAGCAAGTTATACATCTTTGACAAAATCTTAGTTTTGGGTTCTAACAGTTCTGTTTCTAATGTTGATTTTTCCACCTGGAAGCCAATTTTCTTGTCCAAATTGTATGCCTCCATTATCTGATAATAATGAAGCCAGTCTCGCACTTTGTCTTTTAATTTCTCAAAACTCTGCAATTTCAATTTGTCTCCTTCTTGTTCCAAAATTTCCCAATATTTCGGCCATTTGGCCTCCATATTGAGCTTTTTCTGAGCCTTTGCTTCCATCGGTGACAACCACCTTGGGGTTTTATTTTCAAGTAAGTCCTTATATCTTATCCAGACATTTAACAATGCTTTCCTAATATGGTTTTTAAATGCTTTATATGCTTTAACTTTGTCATACCACAAATATGCATGCCACCCAAAAACATTATTGAAACCTTCTAAATCCAAAATGTCTGTGTTCTCAAGAAGCAGCCATTCTTTCAACCAGCAGAATGCTGCTGATTCATAATAAAGTTTAAGGTCTGGCAGGGCAAATCCACCTCTGTCCTTTGCATCAGTTAATATTTTAAATTTTATTCTGGGCTTCTTGCCCTGCCAGACAAATCTAGAAATGTCTCTCTGCCACTTCTTGAAACAGTCCATTTTGTCCAAGATTTGCAATGATTGAAACAAAAATAACATTCTTGGCAATACATTCATCTTTATAACAGCAATTCGACCTAACAAGGAAAGCTTCAAGTTTGACCATATCTCTAGATCCTTTTTCACTTCTGACCAACATTTCTCATAATTGTCTTTAAATAGGTTTAAGTTCTTAGCGGTCATATTAACACCCAGGTATTTTACTTTCTTAACCAATGTTAAACCTGTCTCCTTCTGAAACCTCTCTTTCTCAATCGGTGTTAAATTTTTCTCAAGCACCTTAGTTTTTAACTTGTTCAACTTAAATCCTGCCACATGACCAAATTCCTGAATCAATTCTAATACTCTTTTAGTACTAGATTCTGGCTCCTGTAACGTCAATACTAAATCATCTGCAAAAGCTTTCAATTTGTACTGTTTGGCTCCGACCTGTATACCTTTGATCAGACGGTCCCTTCTGATCATATTTAGCAGAACCTCCAGGACCGAAATAAAAAGCAATGGGGAAATTGGGCAGCCTTGTCGTGTCCCTTTCTCTATCTTAAATTCCTCTGTCACCACATTGTTAACTATTAGTTTAGCCTTTTGTTCTGAATAAATTGCACTTATACCATTTTCAAACCCTTGACCAACCCCCATCCCCTGAAGATTTTTCTTCATGAAACTCCAAGAAATATTATCAAAGGCTTTCTCCGCATCTACAAAAATTAAAACAGCTTTAGTATTAATATTCACTTGCAACATCTCCAAAATGTTGATTATATTCCTCGTGTTGTCAGACAAGTGTCTACCCAGGAGAAAGCCAGCTTGGTCTTTATGTATCTCCTCCACTAATACTTTTTTTTAACCTTTTAGCCAAAATATCTGCAAAAATTTTATAATCCACATTAAGCAGGGATATGGGGCGGTAGTTCTTAAGTTGTGTCTTTTCAGACTCATTTTTCGGTATTAGTGTAATATAAGCTTCCTTCCACGACTCTGGCGCTTTTCCCCCCTCCAAAATTTCATTACAAACCTCCTTTAGTGGTTGAATTATCCAATCCTTCAAGGATCTATAATATTTTGAGGTTAAGCCATCTGGCCCTGGAGATTTGCCCAACTGCATGTTCTGGATGGCACCTTCCACCTCCTGTTCTGTTATTTTGTAGTTCAACATTAACTTATTTTCTTGAGAGATTTTTTGAAGTCCATTTGTTTTTAAGAATTGGTCTAAATCAAACTCTTTCTGTGGCCCTTGTGTATATAACTGTTTAAAGTACCTCTGGAAGCATTTTCTAATTTCCACTGGATTCTGGATGTTCTTTCCTTCCACTTCCAAGTTGGTAATGGTGTTAAGTTTTTGTCTTTTTTTATTTGCCAAGCTAACAGTTTTCCACATTTATTGGCCGATTCAAATGTCCTTTGTCTCATCTGTTTAATTTTCCATTCTATTTCCTGATTCATCATCTTCATATATTGAACTTGGTATAACTTTATTTCTCTCAGAATCTCTTGTGACTTTGGTTTCGCTCTCAGTTTCTTCTCACCCTCTTTTATTTTTTCCAAAATTTTATCTTTTTCTCATTTTGAGTTCTCTTCTTTATTACATTCTGTTGAATTAGAAACCCCCTCATAACTGCTTTGCTTGCGTCCCAGATTACTCTTTTTTCGATGGTAGTGTTTATATTTATCTCAAAATAGTTTCTCAAGGTTTTTTGGGCCTTCTTGTTAACTTCTTGATCTCTAAACAAGGTGTCATTCATCCTCCATCTGAAGGAACCGGTAGGTGTTACTTTCATCTCCATTTTCACAGCATTATGGTCAGAGCAAGTTTTAGGGCAAATTTCCACTTTTCGAGTCTTAGGTGCCAGTCCTCTAGTTATCCAGATTTGGTCAATTCTTGTCCATGTCATTTTGGCTTCAGAGAAGAAGGTTCCCTCTCTGCCCAAGGGATTCTTTATTCTCCAAATGTCAATCAAGTCCATATTGTCAGTCATCTCAAAAAAGGTTTTTGGTAGTCTGCCATCTTTGGTAACTACCTGTCTCTGCGACTTGTCCATGTTTGTAGATACCACTCCATTCATATCTCCCATCATGATAATGTTGTAATCCATATAGTCTAACAATGTCTCATGCAACTTCTTAAAAATTCAGATTACCCCACATTTGCTGCATATACTCCTACTATCAAAAATTTTTCTCCTTGTGTTTGGATTTCAATTGCCACATATCTTCCTTGGTCATCTTTAAAAATAAATTTCGGTGATAGGCTCTCTTTCGCGTAAATTACTACTCCTCTCTTTTTAACCTTGTCCGATGAAATAAACTCTTGACCCAATCTTTTATTAATCAATACTTTCCTATGAAGCCTTATCACATGTGTTTCCTGCAAGCAAATCAAGTCCAATTGTTCCTTTTTCAATAAATGAAAGACTTTTTTCCTTTTCTCCGGGGAGTTAAATCCATGAATATTCCAACTTAATAGTTGCAGGGACATGGTGTATTTATTTTGCTTTTCCTCCAACTGCGCCAAGTAATCGTTCTTGTTCTGTCGGTGGTATCACCTTCTCTAACTTGTCCAATCCCAAAGGTAGTGGTACTATGTCTTGTATTCCTGGTTTTAAGGCTCTTGGCTCTTCTTCAGCTTCTTTTTGCAGGTCTTCTCCGTGTTCTTTCAGAAATTTTTCTTTATCTTCCACTGATCTTATTTTAAACTTTTTCCCTTTAAAGGTAAAAGATAGGCCTTGGGGGAATTCCCACCTAAAAATGGTTCTGTTTCCTCTTAACAGGGCCACTAGATCTCCGTAGTTGGACCTGAGATCCAAAAGATGTTTATAATAATAATAATAATAATAATAATAATAATAATAATAATAATTTATTATTTATACCCCGCCCATCTGGCTGGGCTTCCCCGGCCACTCTGGGCGGCTTCCAAAAGAATATTAAAATACTATAATACATCAAACATTAAAAGCTTCCCGAAACAGGGCTGCCTTCAGATGTCTTCTAAAAGCCTGGTAGTTGTTGTTCTCTTTGACATCTGGTGGGAGGGTGTTCCACAGGGAAGGCGCCACTACCGAGAAGGCCCTCTGCCTGGTTCCCTGTAACTTGGCTTCTCGCAGTGAGGGAACCGCCAGAAGGCCCTCGGTGCTGGACCTCAGTGTCCGGGTAGAACGATGGGGGTGGAGACGCTCCTTCAGATATAGGGATGTCCTTAAATATCTCCACTCTTGATTCACTTATTTCCAAGGTCTTCTGGAAGTGCAGACTTAATATTCTGTCTCTCTCCTCTCTTGATCGGAGGGTAATCAAACAGTCTCTCACCCTGTTCTTTCTCCCCCCTCTTCCAAGTCTAAAAGCACTTACTAGCTTAAAATCTAACTTGTCTGAGTCTAAGTTCCAAAAGTCTGCGAATTCCTGCGTAAGAAAGTCAATCAAACTATCTTTCTCAAGTTCAGGTACAGCCCTGATCCTTAGATTTGTCTGTTTTTCTTTTAATTCAATCATAGACAGCAATGACTTGTGGTCCTCAAGCTGCCTACATATCGGTGGTATCTTTTCCTCTACAGCCAATGCTTTTTCCTTGGCTTCTTCAGCTGTTTCTCGGTTCAAAGTAGATTCCTGCAGCAGTTTCTCAATAGATTCTGTATTTGAGTTCACCTTCTGCCCCAAGTTATTGATGCTTGACGTGTTTTGATCAATTTTAGTTGTCGCTTCAGCAACTTGTTTGCTTAATTTTTCCAAAGATTCAGAAATTTTATCTAGTGCTGAAGCTAAACCCCCTTCAGATGCCATTCCTTTAGGCGCCACCTGAGCTGGATCTTCCCCTGGTGGGGCAGGGAGGCCGGATGCTGACGGTCTACGCTGCTGCAGTCTAATTTTACCCGATCTTGTTGTTTTTTCCTGAGTCGAGTCTGCCATAACACTTTATCTAAGGATCAAGGTCAATCCCACGGTTACTTGTTTTGTAGTGGAAAATTCCCCTGGCCAGTTTGGAGTGGAAAATTCCCTGGCCAATTGTAACAATTTCAAAGTTCCTCTAGGGGGACACAGTAGCAGTCCAGACTTGTAGCAATAAAATAGCTTTTCCAACTTTCAGAAATCCCCCCCTTTAACCAAGAAAAGTAACAGTTTCGGGTCCGGAGAGACCCTTCAGAGTCAAAGTATCTCTCTTACAGAGTTAGCTGTCAAAGAGTTGCATTATCCTTTAACAATACGGCAGTTCCATTGTCCCTTGACAGTCCGTTCCCAGGCATTAAGTGATGGTCTTTGTTCCCTTTCTCTCTTCTTTTTGCAGGCAAAAAGTACTTCCCCTTCTCCCTCCCCTCTTCTGCACCTCAGGGAGGGAGTTCTCTTTTTATTGATGTTAAGATTTGAGTCTTTTTCAACACGATTTTCAGGGTCTTAGCTTAGACAGTCTTCGCTTTGATCTATTTACAGAAAACGGAAGACGGACTTCCTGTTTACGCCTTCCCGCTTCAGTGCCAAATTAGTCCTATTTTCCTTAAATTTCCCAATCTTCAAACTTAACCTACTCACGGGTAGTTGTTTATTAGCCGAATTGTCACAGGAAAAAGGTCAGCGCTCTCCGGCAACAGCTGCGCGGCTTCACTCCACGGAAGAAGCAGTTGACTCTCAGCACCGCGCCAGACTCCCCGTTTCGCTCCGGAACTCTTTACAGGGTTCCCTCGCAGATTGGGGGGGCGCTAAGGGTGCCCGCCGAGTCCCACGGTCACAGGCTTCACCCGCCTGTGGTTTTCGAAGGGGTCCCTGCTTCGCCGTAGCGGCAAGACCCGATTTCCGCGGAGCTACTCCCTCAAGACTAGAGGGAATCCGCCATTGCCGATGGCGCCGCCTCCGGAAGTCCCTCAGATCACCCCCTACCACTCGTTACATTTGCTAGCTGCGATCCAAGCCCTGGAAGCCTTCAAATCTTCCCTGCAGCAAAAAGTTAGAATGATTAGGTGGTGCACTTACCCGTGGATGTAGCATACCTACCTATTCCTAGCTCTTTACATCCCCTTTGTGCAATCTTGCTATGTGGGGAGGCAAACAAGTATAAGTCTGCATGTGGCCCTTGATGTGGAGCCACTATTTTCTTGACTTGGGTCTGGAGAGAGGCCTAAAATGTCTATGGCAAGTGAGTTGTGGGTCAACCCGGGAGGGGATAATGAGGCATGCAGGTTCTCCCAGGTACTTGTCTGCATTTCTCTTTCCTTTTTCAAAAGCCAAAATTCTTAACCCTGTCACAAAAAACCCCCGTAGTTGGCAGAATGTATTAAGTTTAGAAGTTTATTGGAATCAACAGATGGTCTCCAATCTGTATAAAGCATAGTTCTCAACTGCAGAACAAGCGCTGCCCCCGTCACCTGTACCTCCTTAGTCCTGGTAAATATATTTCCTTAGTACTGGCTTTATGAACTTTTGAAGGGTCTATCTTTGGACTTCTGCCTCCCTTTGTCTTTATAGCTTATTTTGCTGCAGGCAAAAAGCCGGGCTTGTAACCTGTAATGGAGATTTTTTGTACCCTATGTGCAATCACCACCATCATCATCATCATCATCATCAAACAACTGTTGAGTTTTCTCAGTGGTTTTTAACCCAGAATAAAGCAAATTGTTATAGAACCACCATAGAACCAAGAGAGACTAGAGTATTGATCCGTGCAACTGCTTCACTTCAAAAGCTACAGCACTTAATTCAAAATGTTCCCTGTCAGCACAGTTGAGCTGTATATTCAGCCCAAAAAAGACTTCATTAGAGAACTAAATTATTCTTCATACGAATAAAGCAACATTCTTATACATAGATACATTTATCTATGTACATAGTACTTCAGACTGATTTTTACCATGGAAACCTTGATTCGAATTTGGATGGGGAAAAGAACAAGGAAAAAATGTGAGAAAATACAAACACATTTATTGAAGCTTCATCCTTGCTGGAGATTAGAGGTAAGGAGCAAGTCCAGCCATCGCCAATCTGGTGCCATACAGATGTTTTAGACTACAACTCTCATCTGCCTCAGCTAGGGCAAGCTGAGCTACGTAATAGTGATATGCACAATGCTTTTTTATCCCCTCTTGACACATGGCGAGATGCTTTTGAAAAAGAGAAGAACTTACAAAGATAGAGTTTGTCACAGCATGGGAACCAGTGGCTCAAAGGAATAAATTCCATTGAGCTACTGCAACCACCTTGCACAAAAGGCAAGGAAAAATCTGGATCCCAACCACATTTTTCACTGACAAACTACAGGTGACTCATCCCTTGACCTACACACGCAATAAAAAAGAGACTCCAACCCATCAAAATGTGGCTTGAACAATATGACTAAACACATAAAACATCATCTGCTCAAACACAATCCTGTGATCAAACTGTTTTACAAGTATTTCCTGTCAATTCAGTTAGCAAGCTCAACAGGAGGGGACAGCATGGAATGAGAGGATTTCTATCAAAGGCATTTTGATCTTATTCCAAAATATGTTGCTAATTATTTTCATAGAAGTATAATTTTGGAAAAGGTGCATCTTACTGCATGGAAGCAACCAAAATAGAAACATCAGCACAACAAATCATGAAATGAGCACAGAGCTTACAAAATGTATTTTTTTTATTATTAAATGAAAAGAATCTGTTTTGTAGATCAAATATGAAATAGAATGTACAAAAAACTTTACATCTGTCCTCTGAAAGAAATAAAATGCTATCAGGAATTCGCTAGCAGCAATTCCTTCCAAACACAACACAAAATGCATGAATATGTTTTATGGCAGTACAATACTACACAGAATAGCCTGTGCTAGAACTGCAATTACAGAGAAGTAAAGTTAAAAATCTAAATGGTCTCTCTCTAAAGGATACTAGTCCACAAAGTAACTTAAAAACATGGGAATCAACCATCATATATTCTCTTAGAAGCAAGTGGCAGGTAGGTTGAGTGCAGTGTTCACAAAGCTTGCATATAGCATTCTCAGTTCCTATACAAATATAAATTGTTCATTTTTATTTTTAAAAATCTTTCTATTTGATAAGAATTCATTGTGAAGAAAACATCCCGATCAAGATCTTTTGCTTCATCCATGCAATATATTCCTTAGGTATTCTTTCTGAAGCTTGGTACCCAAAGCCGTCATGGCAATAATTTTTTTAATGTTCAGATGCAAATCTTTGTACTAATGTCTCATATAATAAGGTTCTGCAGAGCTCTCACAACATGTCTTTGGCATCACACCAAGTCCCCCTTTAATACTTTTCCTTTAAAAAAGTATATATTCCTTTAGTAAAACACCCTAAAAACATCTTATTTCAGGTTTTGTAAAATAATGCATTATCGCCTCCTTTGTTGCTTTGCAAAATATACACCATATTTCGGAGAGGAAAACAGGAAATGCCCACCATTGGAATTCTGAATGGTTGCAAAAAGAAACACATAATTACAAGTCCCCTCCCATATGGAGGCTACATAAAGTCATTCAGTTCGGCTTCCAGTGCTGCCGCCATCTCATCTGCTTCTGAGCTGCTGCCCTCCTCGTCGTCATTGCTAGACCCTTTGCTAGATTCACTGGCACCATCATCTTCATCCAGCTTTCGCTTATGACCCCTACAAATTTGGACACAGAGAATGGACATGATTAAAACAATATCCTTACGCAGTGCTATTTTTCTAGAAAAAGAGGTGCCGGAACTCACCATGAACACCTCCCTCGTTCTCTTAGAATGGCAATGGTGCCCACCTGAGAGGTACCGGAAACAAGTTTCTGTGAGTTTGGGCTGAAAAAAGCCGTGTCTTTCACTGCCTAATAGTGTAGTCTCCAAATGGAAGATGGCAAGCAGCAGAATCCCTCCCCCAAATATTTCAAAGCTTTTACACTGAGAAGAAAGGTCAATCTCTAAGCACATAACATTTTCTAAGTGCTGTATAGAGATTGAGATGACAGTCCCTCACAATATAAGAGACATGAAATAAAAGAGGAAGAAAGCAAGCAAATACAGGGACCGAATCTTGAATTTACACAATCTCAGCAGTGTCATTTACACACACAACGCAGCAACCTTAGTCCACTGGCCAATAGCAGAAGCCAAGATGTGATTTCTTTTAGGTCTGGAAGCCCAAGGAAAGTATAAAAAGACTGTATTCAAAAGAAAGGCATCACTTGCAGTATGATGATGCACTTAAAAAGTTCTGAAGCTGAAAATGACCCCCCCCCCACCTCCCCATTACAGGCTATGATAAATTCTACTTTCAGGGAGATCACTTTCTACAAATTTTGTAGCAAAGCATTACTGTCTGACCTTGCCCTATACTGGACAATTAATATGCTCAGGTTTAGAGAGAATTGACCTTGTTATTTTCTTCTTCTTTGTGGTATATTTTGAATTTTTCTGCATTCAATTATCCCTAGAAGCAGAGCCAAGTAATGTCAAACACAAAATACCTATCATAAGTGATGATATGGATGCAACAAGGATAGTGCCAAAATCATAGCAATCAAGAAAACCTCACCCTGTTACACTTCCGCCTCCTCTCTGCAGCATCTCCCAACACTGGTGCTCTAATAAATATGCATGTTACTCTCCAATGTCTAAGGAGCCTGTGGTGCATTGTTTTAATACTGTAGGGTAAAGGTTACCAGAATTTTTTCAATGAATCTGGGGACACTTTTCAACTTCAGTAGGAATGATAGGATTTTGTATGGGGACTGATTTGTAAATCCGGGGACTGTCCCCAGGAAACGGGGACATCTGGTAACCTTAGGGCATGGAAGTACACTCCCTATAGAAAATTATTTTCCTTGCATAATGGACTCTTGAATAAATAGTCCTGAAACCCTAATGCTCCCTTGAGATGCATCAATATTTCCATTTTAGGTTACTGCAATAAACAGAATTAGGACCTGCAAGTTCCTGAAAGCCTTTCCGCTCCCCTAGTTAGGAATAAAATTTCATTTATTTGAATCATATTGGTATAGAAGACCAGTTTCACCAACTTTGCTACGAGAGTGTGAACTGTTCTTGCTGGAACTGTAATCACTGCTAATTAATGAGCCACAGAGATGCCAAGTTACAAGTGGCACTACATAATGTTCCGAAATGTAGTCCAAAAAGTCTCTACTGTACTGTCTTGCCAACATAAAAGACAAAATAAAACATGGAAGGTTTGTGCAAGTACTATTCATTACCATTAAGCTGATAGCCAAGATAAATGCGTATTTGTTCCCATGTCTGGCATTTTGCAAAGGGTAAAGCTCATGACACACTTTACACAGCACACAAATTTGCCACTCGTTTCCCTTGTGTCGCTTGGAGAATACTATAATGCAGCCTTCACCAACCTGGTGCCCTCTAGCTGTTTTAGACCACAGTTCCCAACAGCCCCAGCCAGCAGACAAGTTAAGCAAGGCTGCTATGTCTGAAGGAGGAATGTAAATATGTAAAAACGGTGCATGCATGTGTGTTATACTGAGTAGCCAGAGCTAGTCTCGTCTCCAAACATTATAGGTGTTTTGGGGGCATTGGATGAATGAGCCTAAAACCTGCACGTTGCCTAAGTGTAAATTGGCCCCAATACCTCCTCCACTGTCTAGTAAAAGTAAAGGTAAAGGGACCCCTGACCATTAGGTCCAATTGCGGACGACTCTGGGGTTGTGGCGCTCATCTCACTTTATTGGCCGAGGGAGCCAGCGTACAGCTTCCGGGTCATGTGGCCAGCATGACTAAGCCGCTTCTGGTGAACCAGAGCAGCGCACGGAAACACCGTTTACCTTCCCGCCGGAGCGGTACCTATTTATCTACTTGCACTTTGACATGGTTTCGAACTGCTAGGTTGGCAGGAGCTGGGACGGAGCAATGGGAGCTCACCCCATGGCGGGGATTCGAATCGCCGACCTTCCGATTGGCAAGCCCTGGGCTCTGTGGTTTAACCCACAGTAGTGGATGGCAAATGGTGGGAAAAGTCCCACACTGCACTGTGGGTTTTGTGCTACCTCCAGTATAAGTGTGCCTCTGAATACCAGTTGCTAATCTATGGCCTTTTAAGCTGTGTGTGTGGTGGATAATGTTATTTATTGTGGTATGTATTTTTGTGTTTTTATATTGTAAACTGCCCTGTGATCATCCGATGAAGGGAGGTATGGAAATTATAAAAACAACCATGTTACGGTGGGGTCATACAGAATCCTATAATTGCAAAGATGGAAGGGACCACATGGGTCATCTAGTCTAACCCCCGGCAATACAGGCATTTTTTTGCCCAAGGTGGGCGTGAACCCATGACCCTGAGATTCAGAGTCTCATGCTCTACCAAGTGAGCTATCCCAAAGCTGCCTGTGAGAACAGAATGCTGAACTAGATGGGTCTTTGGTCTTATCCAACAGACCTTCCCTTTGAGTCTCTGATGCTTAACATGAGGAATAGTACTGACTTTCAGAAAGGAGAGGCTAACTCCCTCTGTTTAAAAAAGCCACCCCAGTTATGAGCCGAACACAAACTGGTAATCACCCCTTGCCCTCCCTGTTTTCTATCAAAAACATGACTTGTAAAAGGTGGGAGGAACGACCAGCAGGGGATATTTTCATTACCTACTGTGATTCTAGTAATACAATGGAAGCTTCAGAGCATGCTCAGAAGCTTTCCATCACTTCAGAGAACTATAGTTCAATTCATTCTGGCAGAATCTATTCTACTCTTTTCCTTTCTGCCCCTCAGAAAAGAATATGAGATTTCCTTCCCTGACTGGCAGGAAGCAAGAGGAAGAGAATAAGAAGAACTGGGAAATAGCGAAGGCTTGTTTTCATTCTACTTTTCCCATTTCCTAGTGCAGTACACACAGCATATTTCTTCTTCATACTCTATGTACCCTGAGAGGTCCTATATCCTCTTCCCAACAGAATTAGTGAGAATTAGTGAGCTGGGCACATGCTTCTCCACCTTGCTGTCTCCTTCCTGTGTGTCAAGAATGCTAAAAAGCAAGTGACAGCACACAAGGAAAGGAAGCTTAACGGTGTACATCTTCTGACACAAGTACATACTAATTCCAGTTAAATACTTTCCTGGGAAATCCAAGGGAAAATAATGTCTCCTGATGTAACTCAAATATTGTTTTTAATTATCCTGAGGTGCAATCATGCTAGGGTAGCTCTGGGAGGATGCTGCAAAAGCTCACATACTTGCATATTTCAAGTGTGTACACTCTTAGATCAGCACCTTACAAAAGATGCAGGAATTATTGCCACAATCAGACACCAAAATACCTAGTGTGAGAAATGCAATTAACACCTTAATTGAGGTCCTTTAATATTTTGCTCACAAAGGTTTTCACAATCAAATCTCCCTTAACAATATTTTTTCTTTCCTCTGAGTCCCTACAACAAGCAAGCAACATAGTGATGAAATGATAATAAAAATGTATTAAAAAATGATTAATGGAAATTATCCCAAGTAATAGGGAAAAATGATAGGCTCATGGCTTGTTAAAAGAGCACTCCCACACCCTGTACAGAATTTTTGGAGAACGGCTTTACTTGCCTTGTCTCCAGTTGCTGTTCTTTAAAAGTGACCTGTAATGCCCCCTCTGTCTCCTTCTCTATCAAAAGGAGCTGATCCTTCCTTTGCAACATGTCAGGAGAATCACAGGGAATGAGAGCTGTTCATATTTGGGTCTAGAGCTGGGATTGTGGCCATAGTTTGCCCATATGCGATTTACAGAAACAATGATGAATAACAAATGCTCACATAACTGAGATTCTGCCTCTGTCTTTATATCTTCCTTGAGTAGAAAAGAGGTCTGTATATTAATTGTAGTACTAAACTTTATCCTAATAAAAATAAACATGATAATAAAATGTTTGCCCAGAGCTGCAGTCTTCAATGTATTCAGACATAAACATCCCTGTTTAATTTATATTACTATATTTAATTGTCTTCCCTTAGGGGGTTTCTTGGATCTCTTCACATTAAATCTCTGATGCTGCAATTTATGATGGAAGCACCTGGGAGTAAGACCCACTGAATTCAGTGGCTTACTTCTGAATAGACATGTATACAATTGCACTGCTATTTTCTAACTTACTCTTGTATGTGTTTTGATGTATAACAGATTTCATCTATATATGCATGGATTCACTTCAGTCAATCCCCATAGTACAATTCAGGGCATATTACACTGAAAGCAACTAGTCCAACATCAGTGTGCAGACATTTTAAGTGTTTCCTTTTGTGCCAAAGAGCCATTAAACATTATAGTGGTCAGGCTTAATGCACTTCAGTTACTACAAAGAGCTGAATGGTACATTTTAGAGTTCATTAGGAAAACTATGTTAGATGCATTTCTGATATCATGAACAATTTTTGTATACTACAGATTACCAATGCTCATTTTAAAACCTAGTGGTTTTTAAAAATAATAAAAGCATTCCACAATAAACGTTACTTGGAATCACTTGGAATCAGTACAATACATAGAATACTTAATGTATTAGCTTGCCTCACACAGATTACAACAGGCTACAAAAAGAGAGCAGGAAAAAGCAAATAACATGTTGCTAAGGGTCAGTGAACAGGCTTGATTAGTTTTCCTGAAAAAGCAAATCTCCATTTCAGACTAACTTATTTAAAAACCTATGCAGCCCCACAACTCATGGCAAAAATACTTCAACACAACAAACAATAGATGGGATCTGTTCCTAACATATTTGGGTGGCTCAAGTACGCTATGACACACACTGCAAAAAATGGGGAAACATTCTAGTACCATATGCCAATCCTATCCTCACCTTGAGATCATGTTATCATGACACACTTCCTTAGCAGGGCTGACCCAAACATCAGATTGAGACAGTCACGTGCTGAGGGGCTCAGAGCCAGGAGAGTTGTGTGTGTCACATGATCTGCTCCATATGCCCTAAGCTAGTCTGCTTCCCTCTCAATCAATGGAGAAGGCTGTCTCATAATCACTGTTAAAGTAAGATTCAAGTGTCTGCCTAGTTGCTTTCTGCATACAGAATGGAAAGGCGAGGGCACAATCTTGCCTTTGCCCCTGGCAGCAAGTAATATTGGGGCAGTCCGGTTTCTTTGTAATACTTTACAACATCAGGTTTTGTTTTGGGTATTTTATTTTTGTTAGCTCCCAAAAGCTACCCTTGTCAAAATCCCAGGCTTAATTTAACACTATGTCTACTGTCACTATCTATCATTCTGCAGTTTTTGACATATAATTAACCTAAATAGCAGCTGTGTCAATTAGATAGTACATCAGAGTTAAATACAAGCTGGTAATGGTAGGGGGGTGGGAAGTGTTCCTTGCATATACCTTTGACAACTTTCATTGTACTTTTCATATAATAGCAATGGATACTGAAAAGGTATTTCCATGCTTATTTTAGTGTCTTGTCTCTAAGAAAATCCCAGAGCTTGTATTATATTGCTTTTCACGACATGTTCCCAGAAAGAGCTTGAATAAGAATTTGAGTTTGTACTTGGCAAAACTGTTTCAGTCTCAGTTGTTCTTGGATTCATTAGGAGGCCTTGGAGAAGCTAGTTATTAGTTTCAACTTTCTGTTTCAAAGGCTTTATGATACTCAATTACCTGTTAGGACTACAATGTGAATGAAAGACACTGGGTAGTATAAAAGTATCCAGTTATCTTAACTGGTTTTTCTACATGATGCAAGAACTTTTTTTAAAAAAAGAGGTCTGTGAAAACATCCAGATTTTGGAAATAGAAAATTAACCTGAAATATGGTAATCATGTTACCTTCATGTAAAGTACCTGACATTTTGTTGTCAATGCTACACAGAGCTTGCATAATACTTCAAACAAAAGTCACAGCCAAACAGCTTGTTGTTATGTCTTGGGATAATTCTAGCAATTTTAAATTCAATGTTCAGATGGGAATCTGTGTATGAGAGATTGACAAGCCATCTCAGTCCTACTCAGTGTTCAAGTAGCAGGAATAATTTTATCTAATTTAGTCTACAGAATGGGGAAAGTGGCAATTCTATTGTAAGTTAGCATTTTGGTTGCCTGTTCCTCCTACAATTCCTGCTCAAGTCCCTGATTGCATACGACTTTGATGGGACTCCTAAAATGTATTGTGGAATTTTAAAGAGAAATACATTGCTGCTTCCATAACCAAGAAAACTATCCTGAGGAACCAGCATAGGCAGCATCAATATTAATCAATAAGGCCACCTTTCACTAAAAAAGTGTCAAAGATCCATTAAATGAACAAACCTAACACTGTTAGGATATGGTCCAACTACACTAGCTGTCTTTATGGGTATTATAAAGGAATCCATACACAGCACGCCATTTTTTTGTTTCTGATCTTAAAAACTTACAAACTCTGCTAACCTGGAAGAGTTACCTTGAGTTGAGAACTTTGCCCCAGGATGAGAATGGAAATCATGTGCCGGCGGCGCAGCGGCAGCAAGAGGCCCCATTAGCGAAAACAAGCCTCTAGTTAAGAACAGTTTCAGGTTAAGAACGGACCTCGGAACGAATTAAGTTTGTAACTAGAGGTACCACTGTACTTCTAAGCCACTATTGCTTACTTTCAACCTCAGAAGAAAACAATGGCTACATTCACAGGGGTTAAACAGGGGAAGCCTCCTGCAGTTTGGTCAAACTCATGTTGGTAGCTTCGAGAACACTGTCCAACCATTTCATCCTCTGTCGTCCCCTTCTCCTTGTGCCCTCCATCTTTCGCAACATCAGGGTCTTTTCCAGGGAGTCTTCTCTTCTCATGAGGTGGCCAAAGTACTGGAGCCTCAGCTTCAGGATCTGTCCTTCCAGTGAGCACTCAGGGCTGATTTCCTTAAGAATAGAGAGGTTTGATCTTCTTGCAGTCCATGGGACTCTCAAGAGTCTCCTTCAGCACCATAATTCAAAAGCATCAATTCTTCGGCGATCAGCCTTCCTTATGGTCCAGCTCTCACTTCCATAGTCAGTAGATCAGTAGAAATTCCCAAGAATGACTAGGAAAAATGTTCCTACTGTGATTATCACTCCCCCCTCTCCATCATTCTTTTTGCTGGCATTGCCTTTTTCTGTGAAGAAATCACTGTTTGGAGTTTTATTTGGCATTTTTTTGCCACGTCTGACATTCACACATGCCACAACTATTGTCTCAAAGCCAAGTCATACTGAGGCTAACAACACTCAAGATCAAGCTATGATAAAAGGGTCTTTTAAAGTTCTCTTTAAACCCATGAGAGCTTTCCTTACATAATTGAAACAACTTTGACAGCACTTGAGTCTCAGGACATTAAGAAGATAAGACATATTTACGCAGTATTAAAATAAAAAGAGAGAAAATATTTTTGAAGCAACATAGCCCTTAAAGTTCAAGTCATATTAACTGTACTTTTTATTCAAAGCAGGAAGTAAACTCACTATTTAGCATTGATGTAGTGCTAAGATGATAGGAATTGTAGAGAAGTAATAATTCCTGCCCTGAGGTCTAATAATATTCATGAGACATAAAGTGGCAAAAAAAGGGGATACTTTGCCATAGATTTATAATTAGAAGTAGAGACAGGATTGGGAAGAGTGACATGGGAGTGGAGGAGGTAAAATAAATAAAGGACACTTCAGAAAAGACTATTGACTATGGAGGAGGAACTTGGATGAAACTACATTCTCCAGAAGTGACAGAAATATTATAAGCTTAAATTTCATTGCTCTGTTTCAGACATCAGCAAGACACCTAGGAATGTTATGCTGGGATGACAGTGAGAAGGAGATCAGGGATGGGAGAGGAGACATGACATGACAGAAAACTAGACATCAGCAAGTAGCAGCAAAACACATGAGAGTGAATCAACAATTTTGAGAGCCATGACAGATGAATGAAGGGGGTAAGGACTGTGGCACATATGAGAATAAGGAAATGATATGGGGGATCAACTGAAGCGTAGAATAATAATAAAAATCAGCTTGTATTAGGTATAAAAATCTGCCTGAAAAATATCACATATGCCAAAAACGTTGTAGTTTTTAGTGCATTTCCAGAATGGCTGCACTATTTATATTAGGCCAAGAGCTTGAAATCAGGGGTGGGGAGTTCTAATCCTCTTTTTGTCGTCGAGTAGGAACTACTGAATATCTGAGCTGGCCCTAGTAGTTTATCACTTTAAAGAATTAAGAATTTGGAACTCATGGGCAAAGCCCTACTAAGTATAAAAAACAGTTTTGCACCTGTATTTTTTGTTCAACAACAAAAAAGAAAAATGCTGAAGAAAGATGAAAGAATATTTTAAATCTATCACTGGCACACCATGCATACTTTAAATCGTGCCATCCTCTGTCAAGTGATATCAATGCAGTAAAGAACTTAGTAGAATTCAAAGGTTAGATACTTTGTACAGATAATGAAATTCTCTAAGGATAAATCAAAGGGGTTATAAATCATCAGGCTCACATTCATGACCTAGAAAGAAAAACTAGGTATGCTTTTCTTAACTATCCTACTGCAACTAGAGTGGTTTGGGAATGTTACAGTAGAGTAACATCTGGGTATCTAACTACGTTTTGGCTTTTGTCTCCGAAAATCTTCCAGCTAAAAAATGTGTTTATACAGGAAATAACATTATTTTGGCACAGATATATTTTATCTGCGTTAAGTTCCAGGAAAGAATTTGACCTCCTTTCTCATTGTAAAAGCACAAAAGAAATATTGATTAACAGACATTTCCAGAGTTCTGTTGCATATATGCACTTTTAGAATCTATTCATCACCCATTCATTACTACAATATGAAAAATGACCCAGACAATTATTTTTCAAATTTATAATATGGGTGCATTTTTCCTGTAAAAGAATAGTTCCCCGCTTATGAATTCATGAATCATGGCTTGTGCCCTATACACCACCCTATGGTTTTTCCTGCAGCCAAGATCTATTAAATTACTTGAAAGGAAAAGGAACGGCTTGCTATTATTGGGGTTGGTAGTATATATGCCATTGTTTTATGAAGCTCTTAAATCCCGACATCTCTTCCTGTGATCTTTACTTGTCCAGCTCTACCACTTTCAGCTGTCCCTCAAAAACTCTTGCTCGAATACTATGACCTTTCTTCCTCCTTCCCCTTCCCCCTGGAACTGCTTTTAAAGAAAACTTTCTTTACCTGCTTACTCTCCTTTCTCTGTTGCCTCCCTTGGAAGTAAGCTCCTATGAGTAAGGACCAACTGAGCAATCCATGGTGTTACATGCCTAGTTTGATCCTATATGACATCACGGGGAGGGTGGGGAGAAGCTGTGCAGGGGGAATCAGGAGGAAAGGTGGGATTAAAAAACTAATAAATTTTAAAAAGTGCCCAGCCTAAATAGCTTCCTGTTCATATTCCTGGGTGAAAAGCTGCCTACAACTTACAGAATTAGCCTTCAATATCAATAGTTCATTCCTGCAATCTCTTTGGATAACTTGGCCAAGTTATAAATGGCAAGAAATGACACTATTTAAAAATCCTATTAAACATCTTGAGAAACAAAACATCAAACCAATGTAGTCTTGACTGGATTGTATAACTGCAAAATTGGGAGTCTGCTGCAGTGTAGTATGTAGGACAATGACCTAAGAGTGTTTTTCTTATTGAAGAGGATGCTATGAAACGTTTTGTCCAAAACGAGGTTTTGCAGCCCGTTGTAAATCGTAACAGTATTATTCATGAGCTTGCATTCCATCAAGTTGTAGATCTATGGAAACTGTCAAGTGATAGAAGAAAGAAAAATGTATAGACAACAAACGGTGAAGTTAATAAATTGTTCTGGTGGAATACATTTGTCTTCCTTAGAAATAGCCTTTAGAGGCTATATATAGGTAACTTTTTGGTATAAGGACACTGGCCGAGAAAAGTGCAAGAGAATCTCATCCGTCTTCTCTTTTTCAGCAATTTCTTTGAAGTTTCTGACAACAGGTGAGTCTTTTTTAAAAAATATGGTACTTATGACTCTTGCTGCTATTTATTTGACCACTGTTGAAACTGCAAGCACTCATAACATTGTGTGTGGAGGAGAATCCACGTGTAATTCTCATGAGATAAACATCTGTTCCATCCGATGGTGCACTCTAATTCTGCAGAGAAATTATGGAAACGTCTCAACTAAAGAGGAATGGGGAGGAACTACCCACACGGAGAAGCATCGTAGAGATCTTCCATTCCCAAGCTCTTTGAGAAACTCCCAAGAGCTCATGGGGAATGTGCATGTTCCAACATATCTTGCAAGATCCATAATGAATTCCCTGTTTTTTGTTTTCAAAAAACTAGTGCTTAATGAACTCTGACCTGGTTCAGATTAATAAATAATTAGAATATAAGAAAGTAATAATAAGTTCTATTATTGAGCAAATGCAGCTAAATGTAATAAATAAATGTTGTATCTCATTATGGAGAAGACTGGCGTGTTTCCAACTTTGTATACAGTGGTGCCTCGCAAGACGAAATTAATCCGTTCCGCGAGAGTCTTCGTCTAGCGGTTTTTTCGTCTTGCGAAGCAACCCTATTAGCGGCTTAACGGATTAGCGCTATTAGCGGTTTAGCGGCTATTAAAGGCTTAAAGGCTTAGCGGATTAGCTGCTAAAAGGCTATTAAAGGCTATTAAAGGCTTAGCAGATTAGATAAAGGGGGGGAAAAGCGAAAAAAAAATCTCTAGACTCGCAAGACATTTTCGTCTTGCGAAGCAAGCCCATAGGGAAATTCATCCTGCGAAGCAACTCAAAAACGGAAAACCCTTTCGTCTAGCGGGTTTTCCGTCTTGCGAGGCATTCGTCTTGCGGGGCACCACTGTACTCCACAGGTGGTGAAAAGGAAAACAGTCAGGAGTTATAGTCAAAAAGCACATGCATTTCATGTGCATGAACAATGAAGTACTATGTTCTAAGAAATGTTGAAGTACAAAGGGTGAATTCATTATTCTGAGAAATGAGAGACTAGAGCAGTAATCCTATGGCAGGATCTGCTGGGCTGAGCAGCTTAATATGCAACAGATCTTTGGCTCAGCTGGCTGATTCCCAGGTTGGCTAGTGTTAAGTCTGGCTCAGCAGAAGATATACTGGCATAATGTGCTCATTCCAGCCTCAGTTGACTGCACCAAAGCTGGTGTAAGTACCTAAAAAGTGGTGTTCTGCAGATGGAACCAGAGGGGGAGGGGAACCTAGGCTGGATCCTAGGCCCATTCAGTTCTATCATGTGACCTGGCAAGCTGGCACCGAACACTATTTTAAAGGCTTGTTTTCCCTCTGCTAGACTTGAGCAGCTGCTGCTGCCTTGCTACTGGACCAGGTTTGGATCTGGTGTAACTTTATGCCAGCTGAACTTACCCTGGCGTGCTTTACATCAGCTCTGTGTGCAAAGGATTACTCACTATGCAAATAGCTGTAACTTTTCACAGAGGTTTGCCAAATCTCTTAAGATATGCAGAATTGGTTTTAGATGGAACAGCTAGCAAAGACTACCCTTAAAAAAATGTAAAGGATCCTACTTGTGAATTATGATTTTAAACTCCCCAGATGTTTTAGAAGCTGCATCTGTCACCTTCACTTGTGGGTTTTTTAGATTTCTGTAGCTAAAATTGCATAAGGGAGGCTCTGAAGGTCTGTGCACAGAGCTGTTAATAAGAGTGCATGCTTTACAGTGCATGATAATTGGTAGTTTGGGGTCAAGCTAGCAGTCATGAGAGAATTGTTGCCACTGTTAAGGGTACACATCTTATTTCAAAATAGGTTTGAGTAATTTTATGTATTTATTATAGAAGCTGTATTGTGTGCCATATTATTGCCCTGACAGGCAGTACTATAATTTAGAGACCTGAAAAAGCACAGCATTTGCATATCATATGACCAAGCAAGCATTCATTTCTACAATAGATGTTAATAATATTTAACATGGTAGGAAACCTGGATAATATTCAACAAAACCTGGATAATATTCAACGATGTAGCTTTGTTTCATGTTCTGAATTTTTAAACTACAATGTCTTCTAAAATTTAAAAAGCAAACCTATGCTCAGTGTTGTAGGGAACTCCTGCAGACTTTAGCCAAAAAGCAAAATGGATAAGGCTTCAATCTTATCCATAAGATAGTCGTACCTTGGTTCTCGAACAGAATCCGTTCCGGAAGTCCATTCGACTTCTGAAAACATTCGAAAACCAAGGCACGGCTTCCAATTGGCTGCAGGAGCTTCCTGCACTCAATCAGAAGCCACGTCGGACGTTCGGGTTTCAAGGAACGTTCACAAACCGGAACACTCACTTCCAGGTTTGCGGCATTCGGGAGCCAAAACATTCGAGTCACAAGGCATTCACAAACCAAGGTACAACTGTATATGCATAGAATTAAGCCCCACAAAACAAATTGGGACTTGACTCAGGAATCATAAATCAAGACTGCCTGTTTTGAGTGTGAAATTTCCTAGTCCAAACTTCACCTCGGTCATAACTTATACAGTGGCCATAGGTAAGGCACCATTTTCTCAGCCTCGGCTGTAACCACTGCAATACAGGGATAATACTGCCCTAACCTTACAGGGTTGCTATAAGGATTACTGAGACAGTGACTTCATTCAGATGCAACAGTAAACTATGATTTAGCATTATATGAACGAGCCTCAGGGTCATGCTGCTCTTCCCTGCTGCTGCCACAAGATTGCAGGCATTCCCTTCAGCATTAAAGCGCTCTCAGTTTATCAACAGGCAATTTTGAACGTTATCATAAACTATGGTTTACTGTGACAGTAATAAGCAGCTGCAAGCCTTGGGTTCATGCACTTTCTTTCTTTCTCTTCTAGCATAGCTGTAATAAGAGATCAGAGGCTTTTGCATCTGTTTTTATATGTACGGAAACTGCACTTTAACATTTCATCTACACCCAAGGAACTATAGTTAATGTAAACCACGGTTATTTCATCCAAGTTCCAGGATTTTCAGACTTTCTTATGCATACTGGCAGAAAAGCTTTGGAAGTCTGTTACATAATTTTTATATGCACTTTAAAGAAGTAGTAGGTGAAAGAAATATAATGCAGAGAACACCAACACTATTCATTTTAATAAGGTAAAGAGCACATACCTGGGTACACTGCCTGTCAAGCTTCTTTCACTTGAAGATGTCGAAGCAGGTCTCTCTTCTATTTTTACATTTACAGTTTCTTTTGCTTTACTCTGTGGTGCTGCCTTTCCATCTCCTGTCTTCTTTTTTTCACTGTCGCTGTCGTCACTGCCTTCTCCCAATATGTCATCAACCTGCCAAATGATCAAGCATTAATAATGACACAACAGTTTAGCAGAACAATTGCACAATGACTGCCTATCCGTATCAATGACTTTCTGATGCATCTTTTAAAATTCCAAGCTTCTCAGGGCAGCATAAGGCAATACATAAATTAATGCAACAGTCAAATGAGAATAGAATACTGAGCAATTACATCTGTGAGAAAAGAGTACTTGCATTTTAATTTAATGTTTTAAATTGGATAAAACTGAATTAAATTAAATCACAACTTTGCCCCAATACTGCGTATGGAAAGCTACAGAAGTTTCAATATGCACATGTTCTTGTTGATGTGTGGGGCATCAATAAATAATGACTGACTACTTCCAAATCATAGTTGTTTAATATTAATAGAACTCGTGAAAAAGGAAGAGTACGGTATATGACGGGATAGAGTGAGAATTCTACCCCCTATATAGAGACCTATATATATAAAGAGAGAGAGAACCAGAAAATATATGTAGTGAGAGATGAATCTGAAAAAGCTCTTTAAAAGTTTTATCCACAACTTCTAAAGCATCCTTTTCTTTCAGGTTGTAGGAATGCTTGAATCAAAGACAGAAAAACTTCAAAGCACCATATTTTTTGGATTGACAGAGCAAACTAGCACAGCAAGTAGGAGGTATTTGTCTAAACTGGTATCCCATTGATGCTGCAATCATAATTATACGTACTATGAAGTTACCTCCTCTGACTTCAATAAAATTTCAGAATAAATGTGCTTAGGATTGGACTACTGAGACAAAAAAGCCTGTGTCCACATTCTAGAGCTTGATATGACTGATACTCTATATGGATTAACATCTAACACATATTTTCTAATGTAAGTAATAAAAGTATCCAAAGCTAAAAGAACAGGGATATAATAATATATGTTTGGAGAGAAATGTTTACAATAACTTGTAATTCCATGTTGTACGTTTAGGCAATGGCGAAAAACATTATTTGCTGCTATGATTAAATACAACTGGAGGTCATACTGAGGAAAAGAAAAGTGTGGAATTGTGTAATGAGATCTAAGAAATTTTCCATTAACCCTAAATGAAAAGCAGCTACTATGATTCTTAACAAAAAAAATGTTTTATTAGAGTACAACATACAACATTGTACACACATAAAATACAATACATCCAAAGTAATGTCCCCAAAACCAATTAAGTAGTTATCTCACACAACCATTTGTGTAGACAAGAATGTAGTTTACGTTAACCAAAAAGTATTATATGTTTCATTTTAGTCAGGTAGATAAAAAAGCTGTACTGATCAATTCTAAAAGAGTCTTTATCCTTTAAACCTAGTGCCAATTTTATTTTGTTAGACAAGTGCTATTTAATAATAATAATAATTTATTATTTATACTCCGCCCATCTGGCTGAGTTTCCCCAGCCACTCTTTCCCCAGACAAACTTTATTATTATTTATTAAATTTGTGTATCGCGAAGCATTCTCCAAATTTTTGCTGCATCTTGTTATTACAAACCTTATTAAAGCTTTAAACCAGGCATAGGCAAACTCCAGCCCTCCAGATGTTTGGGACTACAATTCCCATCATCCCTAGCTAAGAGGACCAGTGGTCAGGGATGATGGGAATTGTAGTCCCAAACATCTGGAGGGCCGGAGTTTGCCTATGCCTGCTTTAAACTGTAAGTACCTCCCATGAAAAGATTGAGCAGTGCCAGCTGTGGACATTCAAAGGCATTTTGTTTGGTAATTGCTTCTATTTCAATAAATATTTGCTACCAGAACTGAGGTCCATGCCCACCATGTATGTTGATTAGAGCATAGCAATACACTGTCGATAGAGAAGGTGTGGTGGAAGATAATTCATGTTGCTTGAAACTGCAAAGTTCTGTATTTTCTGCCTTTCCCTGAATAAATGCTCCTGCAGAAGTGCTTAATGTTAATGTCTGCATACCCGAGGATGGAAACCAGTTACAAGACATGCTGGCGCCCAATGTATTCCTCCAGCACTTGAAATGCAAGTACAGAAATAACTAACATCCTTGAAGTGAACTTATGTATAAATAAAAAATAATAGTGTCTTCTTGGTTGTGCTAAATTGCACCTTACTCTTTAACATGCATTCAACCATTCTGCCATTTTAACGAGAGGGTGGTTTCACTAAATGTGATCTGTTTTCCACATGCAGTTTAAGAACTGAGGTCCCTCCAGCATTCATGAGAACATTCCAAAGCTTACTTCAGCTACACAGGCATCTAACATACAGACTTAAGAAGTATAGCATCCTCTCAGTCAAACGCTTTATAATAATAGAATCTGAACTAATTTCTAGTCTTTTCTTCCTTGTATTGCCTCTATCTCCAGAGCTCTCAGGCTGGCTTTTTATATTATACCAGTAACTTTAACATAGCAGTCTCTCCACCACTACAAGGAAGACACAAAGGGGGAAAAGGCAACAAAACATCCTCTTCTCCCAAACAAAACATTGGGAGCAGATAGTCATGTCACTCAACACCTAGTGCCAAGCAGATTTTTTGAAATATATTAGGGAGATTGGGGGGGGGGCAGGGCATTTCCATCAACACACTTAAACAACCCCCCTCACTTTTGTTATTCAAAGGCAAAAATTAAGCAGGTGCCTACAAATGATTTTTATTTTTGAGATTTTCACTCACACTCCAAGAGCCATAACTGTCCCTGCACCACTCAATATTATAGGAAAAGGAATTGCAGCCATCCCAAAACCTGATCCCTCTAGAGCCCACATGGTACACTACTGATGTCATTGAAAGCCACCTTCCATCATTTCTGGTTACAGTGGTACCTCGGGTTAAGAACTTAATTCATTCTGGAGGTCTGTTCTTAACCTGAAACTGTTCTTAACCTGAAGCACCACTTTAGCTAATGGGGCCTCCTGCTGCCGCCGGAACACAATTTCTGTTCTCATCCTGAAGCAAAGTTCTTAACCCGAGGTAATATTTCTGGGTTAGCGGAGTCTGTAACCTGAAGCATATGTAACCTGAAGCGTATGTAACCCGAGGTACCACTGTATTGGTTATACTGGCTGATAGGAGTTAGAGTCTAACAATCTATGAAGGGAACCAGGTTGGTTACCCCATAGGCTCATAGGATGTGTTGGTGGATTAGAGAATGAAAGGTTTCAGGTGGTAACTTGACTGCTCAAAGTTATTGCCAGCTGATACTGCTCTTGGCCTCTGAGGGAGACTAAGTTCCTTTGAGACATAGGGTTCTGGTAATGAGCTCCGCAGCCCTCAAGGCTGGCACCCATGAGGATGACCAAGGGAGGCTACTGCAAGCGGGTGCTTGTGGTTAGGTTGGCGGGGTTCAGCTACCACTGGAGAACAGAGTGGAGTTGGCATGGCAGGACACTGGAAAGTGACTGTTCTGTGCTATGGTCTTCTGGTGGTGGTGGTGGAGCCATTGGAGTAACTGTAAACCAAAGGCAGGATGGCTAGACAAGAAGCCATGAGGCTTAGTGAATGTAACAAGGATATTAGGTCTGCTGATATTCTGGCAGTCTGAGAAGAAATGCCGGGACACAGGTTCATTAACCTTTTTGGAGACAGGACTACCTGGGCTTAGGCTGTGTCCATTACGGCCCTAAGGTATTGAGAGGGCAGGATATGGCTTTTTATTTCTTAACTAGGAAGCTGTGGAATTCTAGTGTTGAAAGTGTGCTGAATGTCTTGTAGGCTTTCTACCTCGAAGGGAACCTCAGGAGGTGGTAAACTAAAAACACCTTTCTACCTGAGGTGGAATACTTTTGTGAAGACTCTTGGTGCTGACAACAAACACGCAAAACTTGAACTGGTGATGCTACCTTAAACAGGTATGCAAACCTGACAAACTGCTGCCTTGAAGGAGGCAATGGTGCAGCTGCTCCTGGGGAGGAAAACACCAGCCTGGACCCAGAAATTTATTTCAACCACTCAGGTGTCAATACACCTTTTACGGGGATCTGGTGGTAACATGAATTCCTAAGCCTCCTGTAGGTAGACAAAGGAAAGAATCTCAGAACTAGAAACACTCTTATTTTTATATAAGAGAAAGGGATGGGCAGACTAGAGATTGGGTGGAGTTAGGGGCAAAAAGCATGTGCCGCTACATAGCTGCTGTTCCAGAATGACTGGAATCTTGAAGCACTCCTCTTCAGGAGCAGAATGCAAACATTTTGTTGCAGGTTACACTTTGATTTCCTGTGCTCTTCAGGGATGCTAAAAATCAACAAGCAGTTTCCTTTTGATACAGAGAAAAGGATCTTGATAAGAAGAAACAAGTGCATACTGTCTAGGTCTGCTTTGTAGGATACAGAGTGGGATAACTTTCAAAGCAAACTAAAACGAGGTTCCTAGAAATCTTCTTTCTTTTCCAGGCATGTTATACTGCCATTGAACTATAATGATGACTCTAATTTGCCAGAATAGTGCATAGAAGTGTGGGTGGATGCAGAAGCCTCTGACTTTTGGTGCCTGGTTGTAATCTATTGGACAGAGACAAAAGCCAATCTTGTGTTCTGCCCAGTTGCATCTCTGACTCTGTCTCCTACCTGCATGCAGTTCCCACATTGTCCACAAGGGAATGCAGTCCTCCAGCTGAAACTTCAACTATTCCTGTTTTACTATGTCTTAGGGAATGCAAATATATCATGGGAATCTCCATTTCAACTAATTCTAAGTTTTAGGGCACCTTAAGACTGGGACACGTTATAAGAATCAGCCAATACTCCCCAGTACAATTCTACATACATTCTGGGAAAGCATCCATGTAGGTCGCAAGTCCATTCTGCCTCCAGCAAATGGACCAGCAGGAGACCAAAACAGGCTGAAACATCCAGCACATTTGATGTGTGTGAACATAAAGACAAGTTGAGGCAGTGCTTTCGATTACTGCTATCAGAACTAATGTACCTCTGCAAAAACTTGTAAGGACTTGACCATTTATGGGGGAATTTTTATTCAACTATTAAAGTAAACAGTGTGTGGTTCTTGGGGAGTTATTCATCTTCAGATTATAGGCTGCTAGCAGTTTCTCCATAGCAGCAGGGGATCCAGCCACTATTTATTTAAAAAATGCTTATGCAGATTGCAGCTATTCTTAGTAATTGCCTATACAGGACTTAACATTTTTACAATTCATACAGAGAATAAAAGCTGAGTAGATGGAAAAAAAGAAATGACATTCTCTGGAGCAAGCAATTCTGACACACACATATGCAAAATAAAATCAGTATTAGTTAAAACTAAGGAAGAAACCTCCAATTTCCCCACTATCCTTTAGCATCCAAATACAAAAGTTTGACTTCCCCATCATAAGGCTGAAGGGATACAAAGGGCATCCCTCATAAGAACACTGCATGAACTATGGGCTGCAGGTGCCACTGAGGCTCTAGTGTATCTGCTAAGATTATAGAGAGTCCCTGGATTTCATTTCTAATTGTGTTTCAACTTCAGGAATTGCAGTGATAAGTTCTGAAGTGTGAAGCAAAAATATTATTGGGTAAAAATGAGATAAAAGAAAAAATCTATGAATCAAGGTATTTCAAGAAATAGCTCAACTTCATCTCATTTGAGTGTATACGTTTCAGAATAAGACTTCATAATATTCAACTTTCATTTCATATCTGCTACACATATAAAAAGTGTTATTTCTTGCCGGGAAAGGAAAGCAGGGCCAGATATTAAGTAACTATACAATTAAAATATTTAATATCTATTACATGTTCTGCAGTATGTTACATGTAACCAAATATATACAGATGAGCCTCAGGTAGGAAACACTGGGTAGTACAGTGGTGCCTCGCAAGACGAAAAGAATCCGTTCCACGAGTCTCTTCGTCTTGCGGGTTTTTTCATCTTGCGAAGCAAGCCCATTAGCGGTTTAGCGGATTAGCGCTACAGTATTAGCGGCTTAGCGGGCTTAGCGGATCAGCTGATAAGCGGCTTAACGATCAGCTGATAAGCGGCTTAGCGATCAGCTGTTAAGCGGCTTAGCCGATCAGCTGATAAGCGGTTTAGCGGCTTGGGAAAAAGGGGGGGGGAAAGGAAAAAACCCCGCAGGAACTCGCAAGACATTTTCGTCTTGCGAAGCAAGCACATAGAAAATTCGTTTTGCGAAGCACCTCCAAAACGGAAAACCCTTTCGTCTAGCGGGTTTTCCGTCTTGTGAGGCATTCGTCTTGCTGGGCACCACTGTAACTGCAATCAAACTGTGCAGTCAAATTCCCTCTGAACGAATATAAAATGTAAGTTATGCTAAGAAACAGATAATGTTTCCACATTCAAGTTCCAGATGAAGCATTAAGATAAACCAGTTTATCAATTGAAATTAAAAATCTCATTTTTGAGCCTAACTGTCACTCTTCATCTTCCCATACCCTAGAGGTGCTTGGATATCTCTATTGCACTAAAAACGTGTCATGTCACTTAATTACTCAGCAGTACACAATCGAACTCACCTCTTTATCCATACTTTCTAAATCTTCTTTACAAAGAGTGTATAGTGGCATTGTTTCAGACATACTTGGCTGGCGTTTCCGTTTAGATGGGCCAGGCTCTTCATTCTCACTTGCTGGCATCTCCTCTTCATCAAAAAGCTGTTGGTGTGGTTGAACAACTCTGAAAAAAGATTCAAAAGCTCTGTATTACATAACTGTTATGATCTGAACTGAATAGAATGTCAGGATAGATTCAGTTTGGAATACAGATCCATTTCAAAACTCATACAGTGGAAAACTTTGCCCCATTCTTCATGTTGCTCAATATGGATTTCCCTTTTCCACACTTCAAAGACTTCTGAAGGCAATGTCAAAGCTTTATCAATTAGAAATGCAGAAAGAGTGAGCCACTCATGACCCTGATTTTCACAGTAGCACTTGTTCTCCCACAGACAAATTAGGTAAAAGTTTGAACCTGTCTTCTTTCAAATGTAGAAACAGTCCCTGCTCCTGCCAACCTAGCAGTTCGAAAGCACATCAAAGTGCAAGTAGATAAATAGGTACTGCTCCGGCAGGAATGTAAACGGCGTTTCTGTGTGCTGCTCTGGTTCACCAAAAGCAGCTTAGTCATGCTGGCCACATGACCCGGAAGATGTGTGCTGGCTCCCTCGGCCAATAAAGCGAGATGAGCGCTGCAACCCCAGAGTCGTCTGTGATTGGACCTAATGGTCAGGGGTCCCTTTACCTTTACTATAGCCACCTCACTTGGGACTCTCACCCCACCAGAACACAGACCCCAAAGGAAGCCTATGTTTTTTGCCACTAAAAATGGATCCAATTTTTCTAAAGCATTAGAACAGAACAACATTATGTTAAAAAGTGTTCAGCCCCACTGTAATTTGTTTTGGATAATATAAATGTGCTTAGCCAGAAGTTCTTCTTCTTTGGCGATCACTCGTAGCCAAGTAAGATTGTTTTACATAACCATAGTTTTAACAATGAGTCTGTAAGTGACTGTGGAGACCAATTCTGGATCCACATGTCCTTCCACAGTGGGGACATTGGTTTCTGGGCGGGAGTTGATCATGGTGTGGATTTGCCAAGCGTGCCTTCCTCCTAGCACGCTTCTCCCTTGCATCCTGAGTTCAAGTGTCTTCAAAGCCCATGACACCTTTGGTAAAGGCTGTCCTCCAACTGGAGTGCTTGCAGGCCAGTGATTCCCAGTTGTCAGTGTTTATACTACATTTTTTTTAGATTTGCCTTGAGACAGTCTTTAAACCTCTTTTGTTGACCAGCAGCATTACGCGTTCCAATTTTAAGTTCGGAATAGAGTAGTTGCTTTGGAAGACAATCATCAGGCATCTGCACAACATGACCAGTCCAACGAAGCTGATGTTGAAGAATCATTGCTTCAACACTGGTGATCTCTGCTTCTTCCAGTACACTGATATTAGTTCTCTTGTCTTCCCAAGTGATGTGTAAAATTTTTCAGAGACACCACTGATGGACTCTTTTGAGGAGTTGGAGATGGTGTTTATAAATGGTCCACGTTTCACAAGCATATAGTAAGGTTGGTAGTACAACAGCTTTGTAAACAAGCATTTTGGTTTCCCTGCAAATGTCCCGGTCCTCAAACACTCTGCACTTCAACCGGGAGAAAGCCACACTCACAGAGCTCGGGCGATGCTGGATTTTGACATCAATGTTGGCCCTTGTGGAAAGATAACTGCCTAGGTAGGAGAAGTGATTGACATTTTCCAACGTTACACCATTGAGCCAGAAGTAACCACAATAAGGGAGAGGGTGAAGAGGGATTCTTGTTTCCCTACTTTTATATTACAAGTGGCTAATCCTGTTGGGGGACTTGACCCCTACACACATACCTTTTCTGGTTTCTAAGGCTCCACTGAGTTTGGCAGCAGTGGCAGAAAGATTTATTTATTTTAAGTAAATATGGAGCTGGGGTAGGCAGAATCCAGCACCCTGATTGGGATACAAAGCACCTCACTGTTTATCATTCCAGTTCATCACTTCAATTGTTCAACAAGTACAGAGGGAACATTGCCTCACCCTGCTCAGCTGATGGCAGGGATCAGCTAAGGAGGGAAGTTCTCTGTGTGTATCCCTGTGGCTACCCCAATAGTGCATATTTTGTGTATGCGATGGTGTGAAGTGGCCACACACACCATTGGCATGTGCTATACGCACCCCACCCCCAACTGCCCAATGGTGAATGCAGCCAGGTGAAAAAGGTTAGCCACATCTGTGTTACACTTTTCTTTAGGAAAAATGTAGTGTCACACATGGACTCAAGAGCACCTATTGCAAGAGAAAAACACATTTGGGATTATTCTTTCACAATCTTGTTTAAAATATTAATGCCAAACAAAACTTGAAAATGATTTATGAAATGTTATGTTCATCTACCTGAATAAGGAATGTTCCCCATGGACGGGCAGAGAGAGAGGAGGAGCTGGTGCTTGAATATACAAAGACTGGCTGGAGCTTTGAGATCCTTTCCTAATTAATTTTCCGGTGTTGGGATCATAAAGCCGAACTTCAGGACCAGGCTGACACTTGGGATGAATGGGAGTTGGGTGGAAAAGAGCAGTCTGGAAAGCACTGTGTATATCTGGAAACATGGCAGGACTGTACTCTCTGTTAGATGAAATGTTTAAAAGACTTAAGTTAGCAGTCAACATTCCTCATATACACACATAAATACATACATATATGTATACTGTACAGTATATAAAAATAACCACACGCACACACTTGGCCCACCACATCTCTCCTGACTGTTTTAGTCCAGCGCTGTCCCACCTGCCCTACACCTGATGTCATAAAGGGGCAGGTATGGGGCATATGTCAAATGTGGGGCAAGTAAGTGCAGGGCTTGGCTGAAAAGTGCTTTGCAAGTGCTGCTAATTTGCAGGGCCTGCAAAGCCCCTTGCACAGTGCTTCCCAAGCACCCAACAATCAGCACAGCATTGTGCCCAGAACTTCCCAAGTGTTAACACAGGGAAGTTTGCAGCATTTCCCAGTGTCTGACAATCAACTGGCCGTTGCACATTTGGATAGCACTGTGCAAAGGGCTGAGAAAGCCCTTTGAACTCTCTTTTCCCACTCCAGCAGGCTAACTTGCTGACATATGACGATCATCTAGTGTCATGATGATGCCAGATAATTGACAGGTGGGTGGTCCTGCCCACTTGCCAAAGTTGGCCCACAGTATACATAGTGGGTTTGAACTTTCAACCATAGATCAGCAACATTTCTGGAAAACAGAAAAGTAAAAAAATGTAGAAAATAAAATTCATCAGCGATGTAAACACTGGCAAAAACTTCTTGAGTTGTGTCAGAAAACTTCTAGGTATTCCACCATTAGGTCATTAAAAAATAAATAAAGTGAGGGTCCTTATCCAAAATTCACAAAAAGAAAAGCACCATTTCTTAATGTATAGTTAGTTTTAGAACACACATCCTGGCTACATAATGCTAAATTAGGGATGGGGAACCTTAAAAGAGGAGTTATGCAGCCCCCACAAGTATCTCTGTCTGGTCTTTGGGACTCTCCCTAGGCTGCATCTGCTCCTCAGGACCCACTCCCTACTGGTCCAGCTCCACACCCTCCTTGATTGTTAGCATCAGGTTGAAATATGACCCTGAACTCTGATAATGCCTCATGCTTTCCTGGAGTATAGAGAGGGGTGTATGAACATCAAGCCCACTGTACAAAGGTAAAAATTACATTAACTGCTCAGTCCACTTTTGCCTTTGGCCCTACCCAGAACTGGCATGTGGCCCCCAGAAATTTGCCTAGAAAGTAATGTGGCCCTCGGTCTGAAAATGGGACCCGTGGCTGTGCCAAACTATGGCTTAGTGCAGTGATGGAAACCCTAATTTAGACTGAACTACACAGACCCCTTCTACATTGATACAAAGAACTGTACATTAAAAATGTTCTCATTATCTCTAAAGATTTCCACATTCATAGCTCAGCTGTAAAACAGCAATTATTTCCACAAGAATTCAGTCTTTTGGATCAGATTTTATTAGAGCGCACCAAACAAAACCTGTTATTTACATTAAATAACATCAAAGCAATATTTCCAACTATAGAAAACATGCACACATATCCATCCTACTGAAACTATGGAGCTGGTCTGAAGTATCCTTACTCCACCTAGTAAAACATAATGCAATTTATGTAATACCCAGCTTGATATTGGCCGAAGAAAAGTCTTGCCCATTCATGGAAACAACACATGTCTGGCAGCATTAATTATGCAATGGCACTCTTTAATCCATACAGCTTATGAATGTTTATGCACATATAAGAGGGGTTATTACTAAGGAAGTGCTTATAGGAATGGAGCACTAGCTCTACCTATCGGTTCTGGGTAGTTTTCATATGCGAATGTAAAAACAAGATTAAAACAAAATGCTCCTAAGTTTGTGGTGCTCTTGGATCTAGGCTCAGACCTGGCTGTTCAAGCTGTGGCCAGGAATGCCTATGCAAAATTAAGATGGACGCACCATCTGTGCCCCTTTCTGGAACCTTCTTGTCTTGCTATGGTGATCTATGCCTTAAGTCACTTCATCTTGATTATTCCACATGCTCTATGGAGCTGCCTTTGAAGACCAGGTGGTTTAGGCTTCTTACATCTGGCTCATGTTAACCTCTTTTTGTACCAACTGCATTGTCTGCTTATTTATTTTCAGGGACAATTCAAAGCGCAGGTTCTGACCTGTTGAGTTCTAAACAAATGGCTTGGGTTAAGGTTATCCGAAGGACCGCCTTTCTCTTTACTGTATAACCCTGTTTAACTGGGATCTTCTCTTTCAGCTATTTGTAAGAATGGATATTAACCGTGAGCCCCATAGGATTTTAAACTCAAGTGTATTATTTAAATAATAAAACATTACTTTTTACCTTTGTGTTTTAAGGTAATCATCCTTCAAAGGAAACAGTTGTTCTTCTACTTTGTCCCAACGCTCCAAGCAGCTCCATAACCAGTCTGGATTTACAATATGGAGATTTTTATAGTTCTCAGCTTGCCGTACTTTTTCTGTGCCTATTTAAAACAGCTAAACATTAGCATAGGTGACAGAAAGGCTTTTCAATAAATCAGCACTGAGAACAGTTTACAGGGATTAGGTGCTGAATTCAGCGGGATTTAAGAACACAGCTTGGATGCTTTTAACATTCTCCCCATGCATTTAAAGCAGTCTGTAACATGGCAATGACTACAATTGTAAGGTCTTAGTTGTTTTCACAAAATCAGGATCCAGATGCAAAGGTAAGATAATTTTTTTTGTGTGCAACAGAGGCATATAGCATTATAGTTTTGCTGACAGGCCTAGCCAACTGTTCAGATAAACAACTTACGCATTTCTAGATACCAAGAGAGGCAAGAAACACAACCTGGGCTAAAGGAGGAGTGAAGAAGAAGAGGAGGAGTTTGGATTTGATACCCTGCTTTATCACTACCCTAAGGAGTCTCAAAGTGGCTAACATTCTCCTTTCCCTTCCTACCCCACAACAAACACTCTGTGAGGTGAGTGGGGCTGAGAGATTTCAAAGAAGTGTGACTGGCCCAAGGTCACCCAGCAGCTGCATGTGGAGGAGCGGAGACGCGAACCCGGTTCTCCAGATTACGAATCTACCGCTCTTAACCACTACACCACACTGGCTCTCAAAGTGTATGAATGTTCTTCAAAATAACTGAATCCTGATGGTTTCTTAAAATATTCATGCACAGAAATATCTGAACAGCAGTATTAGAAGCTTGCTACATTGCTAGACGCTTCGTATGACCACCTATTCACACAGAGCCTTAGTTCAAACCCATGTTTTGGATTTACTCATACTTACCAGCTCTTGCTGCAATAAGGTGTGTTGGCTTATTGGGGTCATCTTCATTCAATACTAGATTTTTTGCAATCTTAGCTCCAAGTGCAGTAGCATGATAATGCTCCCGTGTTTTTTCTATGGGATAATTGGTTGGGTATAATCCACTAAATAATATGGTAACATCTGACAGCACTTTTCGTTTCAGTTCTGGCACTATTTTTCTTATATCTGGAATTTCATCTGTTTCTTTTCTCACATATTTATCATACTTTGAGTAATAGTCCGTGTGCACCCGAACAAGAATCTCTTCGAGATATATTAAATGGTCATCACTGTCTGTATCGTCATCTTCCTCTTCCTCCATGCTTTGATCTAAAGATTCTCCCACAGTTATCCCAGACTGCTCACTATTTTGAGATTCTGTCTCTGCCTCTTTCTTGTCCACGCAACCATTTCCTAGGCTACAAAGGCTGTCTTGTTCACTCTCTTCATGAGCTTCCAGATCGAATGCCTTAGGATGTGGATTGATGCCAGGTGAGGATACAGAGTCAGCAGAATGGTTCAGCTGTCCGTCCTTTTCTACATTCGTATCAGTTCCCACCAGAGGCATTGCACTTTCCTCTAGTGCAGGCTGTTTTGATTTCCTCCAGCTTCTCTTTCCTTCATTTTCACTATCTGTAGCAGAAGAGGAGGAGGATTTCCTAGCATCCAACCCACTGTCACTTTCACTATCACTAGACAACTCAAAGTCCAAATAATTTGTACTCTTGTTTTGAATCTGCTGTTTGCCTACAACTGTCCTATTATCATCGTCCGAAGACACATGAGATTCCTTGGCACTCATCACATCATTAGTAACATCCATTCCATGTTTAGAATCACTTAAGGTGTCTCTAACTTTATCATTGCAATTCAAATTCCAGGATGGAGTCTCACTGCCGACAGAGTTATTGCCGTTTACTTCATTTGCAGACTTTTGAATGCCATTGCTTTGTTCGTCTACATTTCCCACGTTCTTTGCTTCTTCAGTGTCTCCCGTTGCTGTTGCTGGGTCCGATGCCTCCGTTACTTTTGAAGAATGATTTGCTAAATTAAGAGATATGTATGCATATTAAAATGAATCAGTCTTTGAAGTCAAAATGCTTAGTAACAAATATACAAAAGACCTAATAGCTAAAGACATTTAATCCAATTATGCTTATCTTTATTTAAACCAGAAGCCTGGGGTTGTGTTGGTGGTGGTGGTGGGAAATAATTGATGGTTCCACTTATGTTTTTTAGGTCAACAAATAACTTGCTCAAAATCTTACATATGTAGCATGGAGATTCAATTGTTTCAGAGGATGAAAAAAAGGTTGAACATCCTATTACAACATATCACTCAAACACAGCTTGACGTACCAAGTCACAGGGCACAACATGTGTCCCACCTTTGGCACCCTGTGCCTGGGTAACCCTGCCCACCACCACCCTGGCATCCACTCTCACCATGCAAAAGTGAAGCAGGGCTAGCTTGTGTGTGACACACAGGGTGGCAGCAGCAAGGTTTGTGTGTGTGTTCTGTCATTGCGTAGTTCCTCTTAACACGGTAATGAATGGAGGGGGATTACAAGCTTACAATAGCACAAGAATGGGGAGATGGGAGGTCCCTTTACACAAGCAACAAATAACAAGCCATTAATAGAGAAGTAAGGACACTTGTCTTTTCAGACTTTATTGATACTCGGGATTCCAGGCACAAACATCCATGGCTGCAACTGAGGCCATAAGCTGCAATATTTTTAATGGGGGGGGGTCTGTAATGTTTTGAAATGGAAGACAACTGCCTTAAAATAGATCTGATACAGCATGTCTGGCTTTAAAATAATATAAGGAGGAAAACAAAGGTACCAAAAAGGTTAATATTCTAATTTTAGCACACCCAGATAACTACACATGGATGTACTACTGTCTACTAAGCTACTTCAATTGAGCTTAACTTCCACTAAAGGCACCTTTAGTTTCACGGTCACCATCTGAAAGCATGCTTACACTACTTGTTAGTTTTTGTTTAGGCTGAGGAGACTGATTTGGAACTACAGTATTCCAAGTCACATTCATTTTCACTAAAGGAAGGTTCTAACAACAACTAGCCTGTGGGCAATTTATCACACTTTATCCTCTTCATGGTTGTGCTTGTGACTGAGGGGTAAAATAGACATTTTAAAAGTCTGTGTTTTTTGTTTTTGCCCTCCTTTAAAATAGCAGCTATAGGGTAGAGGGATTCATATTTGGACCATAGGGTTGAAGACCTTCCAGGGCTCATTTTTCCCAACAAAAATCTCTCCCTGCCCACAGGTCAGGTAATACTGCAGTACTGCAGTCAATGACAGCTTCAGGGGAAAAAATGGTTGTTTGGAGTATGCTGATATTTTATGGTAAAACAGCATAGGAAAGATTTTAAACCCTGCCCTACCCTAGGAGCTGCTATTTTAAAAATTGAGGGGGGGGAGGACCCATAAGAGTCATGCTTAATATAATATCTAATTTGCTCTTCCAAACTATTTTAAACTGCCAACTTTGACTTGTACTGCATCAAACTGTTAAGTTTTATGGAATAAAAGCAATTTTAGTAATGGAACATTTTCCCCATGGAAAAAGATGATACAGTATTGTATCGTCTTCACAGGAGGCAAGCAAGAGGGGCCCTAACCCTGTGTTAAATAATGTTGTGCTCCAATTAAAGGATGTATCTTTGGAGAATGCAACTTGTGATTTTAAATTTGATTTCAACTTGAGGCAACTTGGTGTACTGAGATTCTCCCAAATGCTGTGTAACAGTGCAACAAATTCTATAGACCCAGCAGACCTGCCTGAGAAGTAGTATAAATACAATGAATAAGGGTGGTCCAGTATTCTGGTAAAAGGTAAAGGTAAAGGACCCCTGACAGTTAAGTCCAGTCACGAACTATTCAGGTAGTCAAACTGAAAAGGAATCTGAACCTGAAATCCTCACTTCTACTGGTTTTGAAAAACTGTTTTAAGATTAGTTAATGAATTGTTTAAAAATACCATGTTATCGAAAAAACATGTTACCTGTTTTTCTCATTTGAACTTCCCTTGATCCAGGCGGTGCATTAATATCGCCTATGCCCTGAAAGTATACGTATTTCTTCACAGTTATCAAATTAGGTGCATATTTCCAGACATCCTCTCTGTCATCAATAATACAAACCATGGAATCACCACAAGGAAATAAGTTTCTAGAAACAGGAGAAAGATTAAGTGAAATGGACTGATTAGAGAACTCTTTAAAATGATTCATATTAAGGCATATCTAAATAAAGATATAAAATAGGAAGACATTCTAAATTCACATATTGATTACAGTCCTTTACATTATCAGTTTGTTTTCTTAAAGCAACTACCATTTCATCTGTATCATCACAATGATTAATATTTATCAGTTTTGCTTAAAACTGTCCAGAAGCTGACGAAAGAAAACAAACCCTGATATTGAACTGACATAGATATATATAAATAAATATATATACACATACACAAGTCCTTCACTTTTAAATGCACAGAAAATAAAAATCAGATCCACCAAGAATGGTTTTTTTTAAATAATCAGCTGTTACGAAGATGGGCAGTAGAAAGCATCACCTGTAACTCTGCCACCTGGAAAACAATTCAATCAATCACTGCTTTCAACTAAGCTATATTATGTGATTAACAAAGTAGTGTCAGGCACCACCTAGTGGTATGAGTGAGGCTGGACAAAACGATAGAATTGTCTTATAATCCCCCCCAATAGCTTTAACTTTGAATGCCATTAGAATTTTCAAGTTAGGGTGCAGCTGTTTATGACAGAAATGTTGGATATGCAATAGGAGCACAAAACTGCACTATTTTATTTTATTTTTATAAAGGAATCAAAATACTATGACTCAGCTTCTTTGGATGGTAAAGGTAACAGTTTCATACTCAAAGCTTTGATATGTGCAGTACATATAGAAACAGCGTAACATTCAATCATGCTGTATAAGAGATTTAAAATAGACCTATTACCCATGAAAATCTGTTTCTATCGATTTGTCAGGCAGGTCAGAGATCCTGCTACACTGATGTATCCAACACAGCTCTGTCCATCTAGGAGACAAGTCCTGCTTAGTTGCATAGTTTTCTTAGGGCCTGTAATAAATTACTCCCCACTACCAGCTCTACACAGAGAGACTGAAGGAATCATTGGGTTCATGCATTTCTGCTACAATCCGCTTGCCAAATCTTGAAGATAATGTCTGCGGCCAAAGATGCTGAGCCTATTTGAACGCAGGCTCTCTGTTTTCCTAGATACTGAATATACTAAACAAAAATGGCTTATATCCAGGGCAGGGGAGATTTCTACTGAAATACCTGGGGGATGTTCTGCTGTGGGTGGGTGTGCACAAGTGTAGAGTGTAACACCTGAACAGGCTCCTATTCTGCAGTTCCCAAGGTCAAAATAGATATGATGGCAGCACGCCCAACCCCAGTCATGCCAAATCCCTACAAAAGCAGAAGGGGAGGGGGAGGAAGGGGGAGATTTAAAGCATGGTGTGAATGGGCGGAGCTGAACCCTTCCATCACCCATGGTTTCTCCCTGAAGCAACCTTAAAAACAACAACATATTCTTGTTCTGATTGAGCTCCATGACACAAAGTAACCTCCATTGGAACTGAAGTAGCTTTAAAAAAAGACGTTCGGGTCAGGGAATTCAAGGGCAGAAAAAAGATGCACTCCTATAAATAATTCTAACTCTCATTCCTGCCACCTGAAATTCACTTCAAATGCAAATAGTTATAGAAAAACAAAAGCAATGGCAATCTATTTTCTTATCAGTTTCTGTTAATGTGGGCAGGATATAATCTCCATTGCTTTACAATAAAAAGGCATTGAGATGTTTATGACCAGGAGTGGCAGGTTGGGGAGTTTAAAAAAGTAGTTAGATACTGAAATTATGTTATTCATTTCCAGCAGTATCCCTCCAAATGCTTCACAAACAATATTCCAATCCCAATACATACCTAAGGTTCCCAGTTTTAGAATATGGATCAATACATTCATCCCTTGACAATATTCGATGGGAAAAAAGCTTCTTTTCGGAGTCCAAGAATGCTTTTAAGGAAAAGAAGTTCAAAATTAATATGTATTTTCCACAAGAATCATCATACTTAGTATGATTTTCTTTGGAATACCACAGGATCGTTTTAGCCAAAAACAGCTTTTAATATGAATTATTGTGCATAGCTAAAATTTATTAATGAGATCCCCAAATACATTCATCTACTACATAAACCATAAATACTACACATAAATCAAGAGACTGGTATTAAGCCATTAAGGCTGCAATCCTATACACCCTTAGAAGCAAGTCTCACTGAATTCAATAAAGATTATTTCAGAGTAGGCATGTATGGTATTGTACCATAAATAATTGTAATAAATACTTGCTAATATAACTTGCAACATGACTGATAGGGTCACAATAACATGTTTACTCAGAAGAAAGTCCAATGGAAATTCATGGGGTTTTCTTCCAAGCAACTGGGGTTATGAGTGCCTCCTGAATGTTTTTTAATAAAATGTGAGTTTTCATTAGATAGAAAAAAAGATTTTGAAGTTTATATTTGTAGTTCATTTAAGAGTAAACATAGCATATTTAGGTCAACATATTGGCCAGTCAAGCATCACATCTTGTTTTGCGATACAACAGTGCACCCCATTGTAAAAACTTCATAGCAAGTCTCAGCATTAGTCGATTTCCCCCATTTGTTCAGTGCCATGTCTTGGGTTTGTAGATAGCCAAAGCAGTGGAAAGCATCCTACAATTCTTAAGCAAAATGGGCAAGTTAAGGGACGGTTTAAATAGGAGTTCTTGTAGTTGCAGGTTTTAAGTTATACTTGTAAGATTTGAACATAAATACTTCTGAGCTATCTTGAAATAGTAACAGCTTTGTTTTTTAAAACATGGCTGGATGACAACTGTCTTGAAAAACTGATTTTAAGGACTATAATCAGGTAAGAATTCTGCATTTGATTTCTTGGCTACTTCCTCATGTTACATAAACCATTTTTAGTTTCATCAGCGGGGGAATCACATTAAAGCAGGCCTGCACTTGTGGTCTACCAGTCACATACTGCAGTTTCATAAGCCTCCTGGTTTAGCTGCTTGCCAGAGATTGCACAAATTAAAGGGTTGTCAAGCATCTGGCACCACAAAATATATGTCAGGGTTGGCTGCATTCACTTCGGTGTGTCACAGGTTGCATCATTACGTATCTGGAGAAGCCCAGTGCAAACTTTGTATTATAAACTAACACTGTCAAAATTTCTGAGAAAGTTATTTTAAAATTGTGACCCGTATGGTACTGTGCAATATCCATTTCTAGACATGACTTGTGATTCAGGGAGTGATGTGATGCACTTTGAAGGATTTGGATGTTCAGAGGCTATTGACGCAGCACTTTCTAGAATTCCCTATAAAAGGTTTCAGTGACACACTTCCCAATATCACTAGTCACCTATCAAAAATTGATACATGTAGGCAAAAACTATTGTGTCTTACAGGAATAACTTAAAACCCACAAATACAAGAAAATTTGAGAGTTAAGGATAGAAGTTCAACCTTAACTCACCCGACTATGCTTAAGAATTTCAGCAAATTCATGTAGGGTCATCCCCTTGCAGTACCTAGGCATAATGAATTGAAAGAATTAGCTAGACAGAACCATCACCAAGTAAACTTAGAAAGATGCATTGGCCTACTAAAGTGAAAGAAGCCACTTAATGTAGAAAATAAAAGTGAGGTGTGAATATTTTAAATAAAAATGTTACAACAATATTTCCATAAATGGTCTGTTGTTTTTTCTCCACATTCATTATCTACACAAGTCAATTGCTAACTAGATTGGTCGGTGGGCTAGATCAAAACACAAGCCCCCTCCTACAAGCTCCTCACAGCTGAGTGAGTTCACTTTGTGTCTCTTCCTGGAGATAAAGGTAGGACCTTGAACAACAGAAACAGGGAGAAATGATCACTATATCAGCCAGTATATTAGCTGGCCAGTCCTTTATTAATCTATATGTATCAACACATGTAGATTAGGGTTAAGGAGAAAGTGGAAAAAAGAAGGAACAGATGCTTCTTCTTTCAACAGATACCACCATCCTGAAGAGACCAATTAGCAGGAATAAATAGCTTACATAAAAGAATCAGTTGAGGAATAAATTGGGATATACTTTCTTTTTTGGTTTTCACCTGCTACTTAATTATATCAAAATAATACATTATGTGTCAACTGAGACTTTCCTAAGAACATATTTCATTTATGGGTGATTTACATTTCCATGCATGAACAACAATACCCAGTGGCTCGATTAGCAACGAACTCAAAGTAATGGTTATTTAATGACCTGGTTTGCACAATCAAATCCTGACTCAACAAGCCAAAATATGAATGACTCCATGCGCTTGCATGTGGCGTCCATCACAGAAGTGGAGAAACAAACCAGGAAGCTACAATTAGCTATGGTTTCCCATTATGTGGGAACCAGAAACAATGATTAACAGTTTCCAAACAAGTGACGATTCCCAACTCATCCTTAAAAGATGTCCTAATATTCTAACTTGGTTGGACTGAATCTAGCATAGTTTCCCAGTATGCATGTAAAGGGAAACTGTGGTTAAGTACGGCTTCAATGCTCATTTGCCCACTCACATGAAAAGAGGACTTTGGGGCTGCATGGCGGTGATGCAGCCTGTGCAAATCCTAGTTTATTAAGCAGAGTTAATAGATTAAATACATTTCTTTCTCAACCCAAGAACTGCATTTCCTTATAGGGAACCTTTATGTGCACCCCATCAGCATCCATTCCCATTATCTTTCATACACATGCTTACACCCATTCTCATCCTGGACTGGCCAGGTTGGCTGGAAACTGGAATCCAACAATATTTGGAGGGCCACGGGTTTTTCACCCAGGCTCCACTGCACATTAAATGAAGTCTTCATTCAACACAATTTCTCTTTAAATTTACTGCCACCTTGTGTCTGAAGCATGCACACACTATTGTAAACAACGACTGCTATAAAAACACACAGTTGGAGAGTTGATTTTCTTCTTTCAAGCAGAACCATGACATTTCCTAGATAGATCTGAGGGAAAAAGTGAATCCCTCCACCCAGATTACATACCCCACTCTCTTCAGGGCAGTTATATATTATTTATTACTTCTGGCTTCTCATGGTCTCATGTTGAGGGACAACAGTGATTTTCAAAACAGAAGAAAGTTTGGATCTTGGAGCAAAGTCTGCAAACTGACCTCATGGATACATTATCAGATTAGCCATGTACGTTCCCCATTTTTATTCCTCCTCTTCCTACCTCCCCTCATAGCTTTGTGTAATGCCAGATGAAGCATTCTGGAGAACCTGAAAGCTTCTGCGACAGTTTGGCTTGTCCCAGTGAAGGTACTGCACAACTGCAGATTTTTGTTCTTACAAATGAATGTTGCTTTTTGTGTGCTTTGTAAAACTGAGGGCAATATCCAACGAAGTTAGTGCATGGACTAACTTTGTGTGCATGGCTATGCAATGGAACTTCTCCCTGTCTTCTCCCTCAGCAACCTCTATGTTTGTTCTGGGCGTTCCCCCCAAACCTGCAGAACAGATATGGGGATGGCATGGGGGGCATCAGGGAGAGGTGACATTCTATTGAGAAGCCAGAAGTTCTTGTGCTAACGGAACTACTTCATTGGATACCACCTTGAGTGCTTTAAATAGGCCAAAGTAACAAGAAGTCAATGGTAGAATGCAATAGGATAATAATGCTTTCAGCACCAAAGAACTTTAATTTACTGCGTGTTGGAATACAGTGGAACCTCGGTTTTCGAACGTAATCTGTTCCAGAAGACCGTTTGACTTCTGAAACGTTTGAAAACCAAAAACTCAATACAGAAGCCTCAATATAATAGGGGAACTCAAAACGGAAGCCACGTGGAACGTTCAGCTTCCAAAAAGCATTTGAAAACAGCAGCAGTTACTTCTGGGTTTTCGGCATTCAAAAGCCGAAACGTTCGACTTCTGAGATGCTCGAAAACCGAGGTTCTACTGCTTTCATTCCTCATGTAAATGAAACAATGCACCTAGCCACAATTTAGCTGGATCAGAACTCTAAATAAAAGGGATGCTGATCCAATTCTCTCAATCCCATGCTAATCTCTTAACCTGCTGTAGATTAGCAGATATTATTGTCTGACTGTTACTCTCAGCATGATTTGTTTAAGCCACCTTGAGTGCCGATCAGGGAAAAATGCAGGGTGTAACAACAATACTTTTGAACAAGATTTGAAATGCAATTTGGCAACAGCACTGCAGCCACTTGGTAGCTTCTATTCTAAGTACCATAATAATAATAATAATAATAATATAGAATGTTCTATATTATTGTACGTAGAATAGAACCGTAGAGTTGGAAAGGATCTTGAAAATCATCTAGTCCAACCCCCTGCGATGCAAGAATCTCACCTAGATCATACATGACACAGATGGCATTCCAACCTCTGCTTATAAACCTCCAATTGCTTACCTGCAATTGTATGTGCATAAAGTCTGCTTCCAAAGGTAAACACATGCAGTTCATACAACTTGGCAATCTTTTCTAGGAACTCTCTGCAATGAGGACGCAACCGAGTATGCAGCATAGGCTCCCCTCGACCTAACTGAAAATGGAATATTCCCTGAAAGGGAGAGATTAACGCTGGTAAGACGTAAGCTATAACTCATAAATAAAACCCATTTTCTGGCATATACAGAATGATTTTCAGCTTATAAAAGAATTTAGTTTTCAACTACTATTAGGTGTACCAAACTTTTAAAAATTAGCACGTTTGTATACACTTACAAATATACATTATAAAGTTCAATAAAAAGAGCAGCTCAGCATTTACATTATTTGCTTGCCATGGTTTTTATAATATCTCACGAACTACAACTTCTGTCAGGCCAAGCCAATGCCCAGTAATCATGAGAGTTGTAGTTCAGCAACATCTGGAGTCACAGGCTAGACCACCTTATCATAGAATGACTGAAAATAGTCACTATATGATGAAGTAGTTTTAGCTATCAATTTAGTTAAGAATATTTGGGAGCTAGCTAGGTAACTTCAGTTTCATTCCCATTTCTCTAGCTAGGGATCCAGAAAGCCCACATGGGCAGCAAGTGTCTTTTCCAGCTCTATCAGTTGCTACACTGGAGAGTACACCAGACCTCAGAGCAAATTTCGTAACAGCTGAAGTAGGAGAGGTTCCTGAAAAGTCCCAACCTTTATGCACCTCTAGTTGTGTTGGCAAGTACTTTCACTGAATATTCACTAGATGATTATTTAACTAAGTATCACTCAGAGAAGATCTATTGGAATTAATGGACCTAACTAGTGTTCATTGATTTCATTTAGTCTATTCTGAGTAAAATTTAGTTGTCTACCACCTACTGTTCCTTTTCTGGCAAAAAGCAATACAAGCAGATTTCACATGCATTATTTTTATATTATTGATTTTATCTTGTCCCATCCTGAAGGCTGTATTTCTTATTTTCAATGCTTGGACATCAAATTCTAATGGTTGTTTCTTTGTAGTTACTGCAGATTTAGTATGTATGCCAGTATTTTTATTTATTATTGGGTTTTTTTTTCCCTTTCAGTGCTAGATGCCTTGAATTTCTTCTGGAAGCTAGAATAACAAACAAGGGCTTAGGATCTACTATATATTTTGGAAAGTTTTTATTTGCTATGAATTGGATGCCTCTTAGTTTATGAACTTTATAAAGCATTTCATTCTTGAAATGTTGAACAGTTTTAATGTATTTTGGCAAAGAACAATAATCAATAATGTTGCTTTACTCGGTTAGACATCTGTTGGCAGTGCTGTTCTGTTGTATGGATCAATGTCTGGTCCAAATCTACCATTAGCACCAGTTTTCGATTTCTGCGTAGCCTCTCCTGGTCTTCTCTTCCCAACTGCTCAGCTTGCTACAATAAAAACAGAGTATCCCATTAAGTGTATTTGAAGCATAAAATGAGGATTAACTTGAAAAGATCTCAGTAGACGCAGTGCAATGTACAGTAATTTCAAAGAAGGAAAACAAACAACAGCCAGCCAAAATTCAGTTGACTAAATAGCTCCTTTCACTCATATTAAAGAACAAATGGAAGTGGAACATCATCTTAGAGTTGCCCTCTAGGCCTCCAAAATCCTAGCAATTTGTATGTATCAGACTCACTGCATCAACATGTTTAATTAGTGGATTTTGCAGCAAAGGGTTTATTTGAACTTCTGGTATGTGGCAGATGCAGTGTGCATTTTCCCCCTACAAGCAAAAAAATAAGGAGTGCTATCCAATGAAGTACTTCTGTTAGTGCAAAGACTCTGATTGCAACAGAATCTTCTTCTCTTCTCATGTGCAATCTAAATTTGTCCTGGAGATTCCTCCAACCTTCCCAGAGCAGAACCCTCCATTTGTGCAAATGGAAATCCTTATGCATGTTGTACAGAGTTCTTATTATTTCCCCTGCTCTTCATGTGCTGTAAAAGCAGCTGGTTTCCTGGGTATAACATTTTACTTGCACCCAAGTGTTTGATGGCCAAAATATACTGTTCGTGGCTACTTTTAAAATCTTAGCTGTGAGGGTATGTGACTGATACACACATTTTTATTTCAATTTCAACAGTATTTTAATTGTGTTGCTTTATTGCTTTTGTGTTTGGCAAAAAGACTGGGATATAAATTTAATAAGTTTGCCATCTAAACTTGTATTGGCAGGATTTGTGCAAGAAGAATATAGAGTGAAATCCAAGGGAGCAGGCAGTAGTTCTCTCTTCAAAACTAAAATTTGATTACAACACATCAGAAACATGTATAGCTAAGGATTCTATCTACTTAAAAGAGTTGATTTCAACTTCAAATTTAGCTAAGACAAACTTGCTGTATTACATGCGTTCATAATGAGGAAATTCTGCTAATTAGATCTGCTGAACTTTGGGCCCCTGCCAAAAATAAGGGGAAGAGTAGGAGTATACTGTACTTACTTCAGAGCTAACCATCAATTCTGGTACACTATGAACCATTGATACAGTTGCTGTGGATACTGGCATATTCTGCGTTCCATTCTTGCTTCGTAACCTAACAACGTGAAAGATATCAGACAAATTTTATTAATAACAATTACCAAAAAAAACCTCTAACAGGACTGATTTGTGCCCTAAGTTTTAAAGACAACTACCTTATTTATCACTTGCACCAACCAGCCTTAAACAGTGTACACAAACAGTAAATTTACATGATGTTTAATTGGCAAGCAGAATAATATAATTTAAGAACAGGAAAAATGGCACACCTTGGTACAGAGACCAGAATCACGCTTTTTAAACCAAGTAAAAAGTACATATACACATCTATGTACTTAAATTATTGGCATCCTATGAAACATACAGAAAAATGGTGAAAAGGATTAGGATTCATTTCTGTTTATTGAGAGAAATGTTAGGCTTTTAGAAAGTCTTAACCATTTACAACAAATACCACATTTCTGTTTTGCAATATAAAATTGTTTGGATTTGTGTATGTTTTGTTTTACTTAAAATTCCAAAAGTGAACTGCATTTGCTCTCAGAAAGAATTAAACTGGAATATAGGAATATAGGGTGGCAGCATCCCAATATCTGAATAAAACTGCTTTCAGTGTAATATGTAGGTATTAGAGTGTTGGATGAAGACCTGGGAGACCAGGATTCTAATCCCCACTCAGCAATGAAGTTCGCTTGGGGGACTTTGGGCCAGTCACTGTATCTTAGCCTAACCTACCTCCATAAGGTTGTTGTGAGGATAAAATGGGGAAGGACAAAGCCATGTGTGCTATCTTGAGCTCCTTGGAGGAAAGGTGGGCTATAAATCAAATAAATAATAATAATGGTGCATGGACAGTTGTGCAATACTGATTACGCTTGGCTTCAAAATGTTGTTCTTCATCCACCCTGCTTCATCTGCACATAAGCTGCCATATGACATCAGTGGGCAGCAGTGTATTTTGATAGTTATATCAAGAATATCCTGTTTGGCCTTTGTGAAGACAATGGACACAAAATGGATATTTAAACATGAAGGTTTTTTACAGGCAACAGCCTTAATCTTTATTTCAAACTCCCAATACACTCCCATAAATTCTATTAATCAGAACTATTTCAAGTTCTTGACTGTATTTCTGGAGACCTGAACAGGGAACAGTTCCTACTACAAAAGAAATTTTACTGTTGTGGTTTTCTATGTACAACATTGTCACCCATTTGGTTCTTTATTGTTACATTCATGCCCAATAGTTCAGCAAGTATGTTTTACATTCCTTTTGAAAGAATGATTCTTTGGTTTATCCATCAATAAACCTGTGCTCATACCTTCCAGTGTTTTAGTCCGCTGCATACATTTTATGAAGAATGCCATATTTATTATCATCAAACTGATGTTTATTTCTATTTTGTAATATTATGCTAGTGCAAGTTCGCATGCTCCATATTCACACTTATTTCTGGCACTGCTGGGCATACAATAAACACAAATTGTTCTTTCCAAGTCTGAAGAGCATTATTCCAGTGCAATGCTATTGATTTCAGTTTAAATTCCTCAAAGGTGACAATCCTCAGTTTAATGCAGCACCATCAGCAGAAGTCAAAGTCCATACAACAATACTCACTGTGTCAAATCCTGGCCACACTCTGCACATAAGCCTTTCATAACAACTGGATGGCTGCATCCTTCCAGCTGCACCAGGACACCTCTGGAAAGCAAAGAAAAATCTTACTTAAGGAAAAACTGATTTCATTATATTATATTCCGTATCAGATTAGAAGTAGGGAAATCAGGGTTTACGCTGACTGTCACAATGAATACTAGAGCAGCAGTTGCCAACCTACCTCCTCCCTCCAGACCACCTGAAAATTGCTGGGGTATGTGTGTGCATGGGGGTATCTCGGTAGACCACTCAAAATTGTTCTGCATATTAAAAGCACGTATAATGCACATTTTAAGGGACACGGGTGGTGCTGCGGGTTAAACCACAGAGCCTAGGACTTGCCGATCAGAAGTCGGTGGTTTGAATCCCCATGACGGGGTGAGCTCCTGTTGCTCAGTCCCTGCTCCTGCCAACCTGGCAGTTCGAAAGCATGTCAAAGTGCAAGCAGATAAATAGGTACCGCTCCGGTGGGAAGGTAAACGGTGTTTCTGTGCGCTGCTCTGGTTTGCCAGAAGTGGCTTAGTCATGCTGGCCACATGACCCGGAAGCTGTACGCCGGCTCCCTCAGCCAATAAAGCGAGATGAGCGCCGCAACCCCAGAGTCGGCCATGACTGGACCTAATGGTCAGGGGTCCCTTTACCTTTACCTAATGCACATTTTAATATTAGTATTCTTGCTTTTCTAATGGGATGGATATGCCTGTTTGGTGAATGAAGTCCTATGAAGCTAAATGTAATGTTTGTTAGCCTCTGATCAGGTTCAGTGTTCATTTTGCTACTGCATGTGGAAGTATGGTAGCTGTTAACTTTTTAATACGCCATCTGTGTGGTGGTCATGGAGAACCAGTGCTCCATAGATCACAGTCTGAAAATCTTGGCAATAGTTGCTTGGTGGACACAAACATAAAAACTATCCATGATATTTCACAGCTTTCTTATGTTGATTCACACAATACAGAATGTGTTTGCTTAATAGTTTTCTTTATGCTTATTTCTATTTATTTTTTATAACAGCTGAATTTATTACTGTTCACTTTAGTTATTAAAAAAGCCCTCTTTAAAAGGATTTAACCGATGCCAGAAAGCATACATTTTACAGAGATATTCTATCTGGGCACAATCCATAGCACAAGGACTGTGCCGTAGTGCAGTGGTAGAACACCTGCTTTGCATGCAGAAGGTAGGACAATGTATCTCCAGGTAGGGTTGGAAAAGAACCCTGTCTGAAAGAGCCAATCCCAGTCAGCATACACAATACTGAAATAGATGGACCAATGGTCTGACTCAACATAGGGAAGCTTCCGAATGTTCCTAATTCATTGGTGAGTTCTCCTGAACAATGTCAATGAAATGAATGGATTGTTTGAAATGAATGCTTGATTAAGATCAGGGAAATGGCTTACGGTTGGGAGAGGGCTCATAGCTATCTGAAGTACTGTTTGATAGGTCATTTTAGTTCCACCTCATAGGAATAAAGTTCTTGTCTTGAATGGTTTTTTTGTTTTTTGTTTTTAAGGAGATAAAAATGTAGACCAAGTACTATTTTAAATGGTTTAACAGCATGGCTCTCTTACCATCCTAGAATGGGCTTGTAAAAAGTATGCACAATACTGCAACCTAACGTTTTGAGATGATGTGAAGTTCTGTGCATTTAGTTTCACTAAAAGGCATACACCTCTAGAAAATCCCAAATAGCACATTTTCAAGACACATTTCAATCTGATTTGCCAGTTTTAGAATTCAAATCGGTTTGGTTGCTCAGTGGATGACCTTCACTGTGAAAAGGACTGTGGAGTGTAACTCTGCTAATAATCCTGTGTGCCCTCAAGGTTTCTTGGTACTCTCTCACATTATGTACTTCTTATCTGCCTGTTCAAAATGTGAGATGAGGGCACAGCACCTTGGTGATTCCACTTACTTATAAGGGAGAGCCATTACCACTGGCACAATCCATTACATATATGCTACGGGGTGCCACCGCGTTATATCTTGTTGAGACATCTACATGAAACTGTTGGGGAAGAGCATACATGCTCTGGAGTAAAGTGTCATCAGTATGTACAGTCCCATCCAGGTGAAATGGTGGCATTTTAGCCAAGGTGGTGCCTTTCAGCTGTTGTAGGACTCCAACTTGGCTCAATTCTAGGCAGCAAGGTCATCAGGATATCATGCTGACCACTCCTGTTCTAAGCTACTGCTTTGACTGAGTAATACGATGGGTGAGGGCTAATAAGGTGAAACACTATTTGGCTTGTCCTTGTACTACTTGTTAGGATGCTTAGGCCTGCTCTCAACTCTTTTGTTTATGGGTGCTTAAGTGATATCTTTGCTTAAAGCACTCTTTACCAACTTAGATTAGTTGGTGCAAATTGTGGCCTTCCAGAACAAATGCAATATTCCCATTGTTATCCATGGGCTTTCTGTGAAAAGTATTATACTCTTGCAACATGACAGTTCAAGTTATTAATAGGTACTCAGCATGCTAAGCATATTTTGCCTGTACTGACAAAATGTTGTATTTAAATTGGCTTCCAGTTTGTTACCAGGTATACCTTCAAGATTTTGATTTTTAAAGCCCCAAACTGCCTGGAAGTGAGGTATCTGAAGGATAGTATTATCCCATATGAACTCTTTTGTTAAGGTCATCTCCTGGGTGTTTCCTCCTTTTAATAACTTTTCACTTTATAACACCCTGATTGTGGAATGCTCTTCCCAAGGAGGTTCAGCAGGCATCTCTCACAATATGTTTTAGGGAGCAATCCTAAGTATGGAAAACCAGTATGATTTATGCAGACCTAAGTTAAGTAGCATAAAGTACACCATTTCCAAACTCCATTCAGGAGCAGCCTGACAGAGGGAAAACAAGCCTTTAAAATAGTTTCCCATCCCCACCATTTGCCTGGGGTCACAGTAGTGTAAGTTTCGTCAAACTTGGTTCCGTCTGCTTAGACCTGGTTGAGCAGGGATGCGGGAGTTATTTACACCTGCGAATCTCTGGCTGAGTCAGGCTTGGGGACTTGTGCCTGTATAGCCCAGCTGACCTGGGAACTGGCTGGCTGACCTTGAGATCTGCCACATCCTAACTTGCTCATCCTGATGGATCTAGGGTTAGGACCGTGCCCTTAGGCATGAAGTAAGAACCATTCAATTCTCAAAAGCCTTGTCTACAGTGTACTTTTGATAATCATGCTTTGGTTGATGCTTTGAATTGGCTTTACTTTTATACATACACACACTTAAACAGGATATTCATTACAAACAATAAGTAAGGCTATACATTTTAAATAAATAAATAAATAAGACATGGTAGATACCTTTATCCACTCCAAAACTGAGCTCAAACAAAAACAGGCACTGAATACTGATAAGGCCATTTGCAGAAGGACATCTGCAGGCAGGTAACAGCTAAACTACTTGTTCAGAGCAACATAGGATCCTTGCTGCATGGGAAGAAAAAAGGCTAACCCAGAGACATGCACATTCTTGTGTGTATATGTCTAGTACATATAGGAAACGAGACATATCATAAAGGCAAAGGAGAAGATGGGGCAGATTTGAGCTACTTGATTTCTGTACTAACCACAGAAGGAAAACAGCCCCTTCTTCCTCAGCCAGCATGGAAACCAAGCAGGCACTTGGAGAAAGGAAAGATCCACCTGTCCTTCCTCCACCTGTATTCTTGATAGTGCATCCACAGAGCAGGTCAATATCACATGTAGTTTGCTATCCCTAGGTACTATGTATCTCAGTATCTAAATGCACATCCCAAACTACATAACAGCATCTTTTTGCATACATATATCTCTGGAATGAGGTTAGAGAGTGTAGCTACTCTGAAATCTTCTTTAATAGATAGCTATGTTCAGGGATGACAAGAGTTAAGGTCCATCAACTTCTGGGGTGTGATTCCCCACCCGAAATTTAATGTCTAATTAATTTTACAATAGCATTTCCTACATTTTTTGTGTTCAGGTACAACATAGGTCAAGAAATCATCACTGCAAATTAGGAATTAAAGAAAAAAGTAACCAAGATGAAAAACTGTTCTGAACTGGATCAGACTTGTGTAATTTGAGTAATATTGGGTATTAGAACAAGTGTTTCATTTGTATAAACAGACATAAATTTAAGTGATAAAGTCCAACATATTTAATTTTAACATTTCTTCTACATTTTACCAAGGCCTGCTTCCTCCACACAGTCTACACTCATGACTGCAGCTCTGACTTATTCAGGTTAATTAAGGTGTCTCTAATCACAGGCTGTTTATCTTGCTGTTACTCACTTTGAGCCCTTGGGCTAGGGTGTACTACAAATTTAAACACAAACAAACACATCAGGTTTACATCCCACCCTTCCTTCAAGGAATTCAGGACATTCTATTCTCACAACAATCCTGTGAAGTAGGTTATCCTGAGACAGCAACTGGCACAAAGTCACTCAGTATGCTTTGCAATTTGTACTCAGTTTTTTCCAAACTATGCCAAATGCTCTAACCATGGCACCACATTGTTTTGCCATAAATACATAGCTCAAGTCACTGTATTTTATGGGACTCCCCATAATTTGTCCTCCTTTCCTCCTTCTCGCCTTTTATCATCTCTTCTGCTGTCAAAGTTTTACTATAAGGTCCCCAATGGAGAAACCTTGAAATACAACAACAACTGGTGGGCTACAGGTTCCCCAGCCCTATATTACAGCAATTAGTTCAGGCAAAGCATGCACAAAACAGTAAGTAGCTAGTCAAGCTCTACTATGATGTCACAACAAATCACCAAATGACATAGAAAGCATTGAGTAAGAAGGGTCTTACGAGAGCTTTGAGATTTGCTGAGGAGGCCCTTCGTGCAATACCACCATACACTGAAATTTGGGAGCCTATGACTAGCCTAGAAAACCTTCTGGGCAATGGCTAAGGCTGTGGAAAACTCTCATCCCTGATATACAGTATACTGTCCATCTTTCTCCCTCTTCCTATAGTTCAGTAATATAGTCAGGTGGAATAGTTTCTTTAAACTGGATTGTGTTCTTTGGGGCTTTTAAAAGCTCGTTTTGAATTCCAATTCCTTGTTATGCTCTGTGGGCTATAAATAAAAGAAAGCTGTTCCACTCCATTTTTGCCCCTTAGTTTCCAAGGTAAGCTGCCTGTGGCTTGTCTGCACATCTTCGAAAACTTCATTTCAGAAGTGTTAAAGCCATGTGGGAACCTACATTATTGCAACTGGCCCAGCAGGCTGCAAAAGGGGTTGTGTTTCGCCCTTCGCTAGTCACTCCTCCTACTTCCTCCATGGAGACGGGGAGCAAAGATCGGTTTCCTAAGGCGCTTCAACCGAGACCCAAGGAAGGCGGGCGGGCGGGCAGCCTGAAGCGCCGGCCGAGCCCACCTGGCTGCGGCGCCTTTTTAAATCTGGGGCCGCATCTGAGCCAGAGGAGGAGCGGGCCTGGGCTGTCACAGGCGCCGCCGTGGAAGAGGGCGGGGAAGGCACCGGCTGCTCCTCCCGCGCTTTCCCGCCTCTCCTCACCCTGTCCCGGATCTTCGCAGGAGAGGGAAGAGCAGAGCGGACACTGGAGGCGCTTCCCAAGTCCAGGCGGAGAAGCCGAGAGGCAGAAGCCACCGGAGGCGGCGCTTTCCCGGGGCCCGGCCCACCGCCCTCCCCAAGCCCCGGCCGACCCCTCTTACCCGGGCGGGATGACTTGCCCGCGCTGCGCGCACAGCTCCCGCACCACTCCCGGCCGCTCCGCTTTGACCTTTCGCTCGGCTGTCCGCTGCGGGCCGGTCTCGGCGGCCGAGGCTCCAGGCCGGGCCGGGCCCACGATAGGCACGCAAACCGCCAGCACCGAGCCGATCTTCACGGCCGCCCCGGCCGACACTTTCCATTCCAAGAGCCGCAGCGGCTGCGGGCCGGAGACGCGGATCTCCGTCACTTCGGACGCGGCAGCGGCGGCGTCCCCTCCTGAGGAGGACGAGGCGGCCGCTCCCGGTTCCTCCATGGCCTCGGCCGCTGGGGCTCCCTCCCAGGCCGGGCCCGACTCGGCTAGGGACAGGTCGCTATGGCGACGGGGGCGCCGCTGCCGGTTAAATGAGGAGAATCGAACGCGAAACGTTGCGCTTCCCCCTCCCCCACCCACCAACTACCACCTTTTTTTAAAAAAAAAATAACAACAAGAAGTAGTTACGAGCAGCGCCAACTGAGCGCGAGGTCAAGGCTCCGTTGCGCAGGCGCGGGACAACCTTTTTTTTTCTGGCGCCCGGGCCAGCTTAAAGGGGCCGCCGCGTTAAATCCGGCCCGCCTCTGGAGACAGCGAAGGCAATCGGATAGTATAGTACTGGAGCCTCTCAACGCGCTCTTCCAGCTCCTGGGCGGGGCAAGTTTCACCCCCGCCTCCCGGTTCCTTCCGGCATCGCGCGCTCGTGCCTTACTGGAGACGCAAGCGCGCGTTCGCTTACACGCCCCTCCGCGTGCGCTACATAACACTGCCCCGTGTTTTTCTGCCCCGTCGAAGGGGATTGTGGGATATAGATGCCGGCTTGCAAAGCTCTTCTAACGCTAACTACAAGTCCCAGCATGCATTTCTCTGGCTGTTTGGGGCATGTGTAGCCGGCTACAGCAAACAGGACGGCAGCGGCAGTTGTTTGCTTACTTGCTTGCTGACCTGGTTTCCTAGTAGTTGTTTAAAGTGGTAGTTGACTACAAGGGACCCTACAGAAATTCAGGATTTTTTTGTGTGTCAGCTAACGAAAAACAAAAAGCATTCCAAATAACAAATCCATCCTTTATCAAACTTCAGGTGTGGGGATGGAGAATTATGGATTTTAAAGGTTTTAAGAAAATTGCCATGTGCATCCTAACAAGTGTTAAGAAGCGAAAAACCAGCTAACAGAGATGTTAACAGTACTTAATGTACTCCAGTATGATGAGTGATGCTTATGACAGTTCTATCCTGTACTTGTTAAATTTCCCCACACTGTAGATGAATGTGTGGGGAGGATGTTAAAACCACCCTGAAAAACACACATTTTCTGTGTGTGCTTTGGTTTTCAGTAACTTTCTAATAAAGAGTTTATTTACTTCATAAGATTCATACACTGTTGGATTGTAAAAGAACCCTCAAAGTGGTTGATCAAAAGATAAAACCATACAATGGGGTGGGGTGGGGATGCAGTACGGTACATTAAAACATACAGCAAATTAATAAAACATTAAAATTCACATCAGCATTTCTAAGCATTTCAGAAAGCTTGTCTAAACGAGAATGTTTCTAACAGGCGCAGAAAAGAATATAGTGATGGCTTGATATCAATAGGAAGGGAGTTGCAAAGTGCTGCCACACTAATCAATAGATTTCTTACAAAGGTAGAATAGGTATTATGTGTAACCTGTTGTTGTTGTTTAGTCGTGTCCGACTCTTCATGGCCCCATGGACCAGAGCACGCCAGGCACTCCTGTCTTCCACTGCCTCCTGCAGTTTGGTCAAACTCATGTTTGTAGCTTCGAGAATACTGTCCAACCATCTCGTCCTCTGTCGTCCCCTTCTCCTTGTGCCCTCAATCTTTCCCAACATCAGGGTCTTTTCCAGGGAGTCTTCTCTTCTCATGAGGTGGCCAAAGTATTAGAGCCTCAGCTTCAGGATCTGTCCTTCCAGTGAGCACTCAGGGCTGATTTCCTTCAGAATGGATAGGTCTGATCTTCTTGCAGTCCATGGGACTCTCAAGAGTCTCCTCCAGCACCATAATTCAAAAGCATCAATTCTTCAGTGATCAGCCTTCTGTATGGTCCAGCTTTCACTTCCATACATCACTACTGGGAAAACCACAGCTTTAACTATATGGACCTTTGTCAGCAAGGTGATAGTGCAAATTACACTGATTAAAGTGGTTTAGTGAGCCTAAAGCTAAAACCTATTGAATAGAAACTAGGGGTTTAATGTTGCTCTGAAAAAGGGTGTGAAGCAACTCACAAGCTAAAATGGTATGAATATATAATTTTAAGAGTTTATACAGTAACTATATATTTTTTGCTTCACTAAGTATGTACTGTATTCATACTAAATGTATTTGATCCTGGTCTGTGGTGGGCTCTTTTGAGAGGGCAACAATGGCTTTGTACTGCATTAATATTCTCTTAGTGCTGAGGATGATGTAACAAAAGTATAATAACCAGTGGTGAGATGAGAAATGTGTTTTCCCTGCCCTCCTTTAGTCTATAGTTTATGATACAAGGATATACGTTTCTTCAGTTATCCTGGGCACCAAGTTGCCTAGGTCTATATAGGTCAACACGAGCGTATGAAGTTTATCCTGGAAACAAATAGAGAGCCAGTGAAGATCCTTCAGGATTAGTGTTATATGATCCCTGCAGACTGCCTCGGTAATGTTATGTACTAATTGTAGTTGCTGAATAGTCTTTAAGAACAGCCCTATATAGAACATATTACAATAATCCAAAAGATAGATTACCAGACCAGGGACACTGTAACCAGACTCACTCTAGCCCGGGTTCATTATACCCTCACACTATGTACCTGTTCCCACAACATAGTAAGCTCATTGGATTTATGAAGGTTTGTGTGAAGGAAGATTTATTGGTGGGTGTAGGTGATGAGTTTGGAAGGTGAAAGGTACATTGATGAGAGCAGGTATGTTGCCATTCTTCAACACACAAAATAACTATTTTTGCAAGAGGTGCATGCCTTTTCAGTGAAATGACTGAGCCGTGCAAAACAAAACAAAATTCAAATTCATGAAAATGAAAACTAGCACAAAATAGCTACATTTGGACACATAAAGCTTTATGTTTCATGTGATTATGAGATTTTGCATAAAATAGTCAATCCCCAGGAGCTTTTACTTCAATTGGTGCTAGCAGCTAAGCTAGAACTTGCAAAGCACTGGAATAACAGTCATATTTAATAGGTAATCTACTTGGCAGTGGTTTTGCAGACTATGGTGTTTTGTGATCACTGAAAAACTACTCAGTAATTCAAAGTGTCAAATGGCAAAACAAAGCTGAAAGATGTATTGTTCTACAGGCATTATCTTCTGCAATTTGGGCCAGTGCAAAAACACAAACTAATAAGCAACAGCCTCTACCTGTTGTCACCTAAAGCTGCAGTCCTATACATATTTAAAAGTAAGATGGTTTAAAATCAGTGGGACTTCTGAGAAAACGTATATGAGGTTGCAAATGTACAAGACTCACTCATCAAAAATAATTTCAGATCCATCTTATCTTGAGATCTCAGGATGTAACAGTGTTGTATAATATGAAAAGGTAACATTTCCCGATCCCAAAATCTCTCCACCCAAATTTAGAATGTAAACAAAAGAAAGGTTAAAGTTGAACCAAAGCCAACCCATTTTATTTGCACTTCCTTAATTGCACTTCACTGCTTCAAGCCACCATGGGCTGGATCCTGGCCAAGTTACAGAATAATTCTAACCATGTCTACTAAGAAGGAAGTTCTATTGACTTCAATGAGTCTTAATAATTGAGGTTATAATTACAGCCAGGAGTCACATTTAGGTCTCACTGAAATCAACATGGTTTTGGTAGTTGTTACTACCATAATTTTTCACATTGATATGAAAGATTCCAAATACAACTTACTTGGTCTGGATTCTGTCCCCATGCTTTTCTTTAGCCTACTCACTTCTTATCCATTGATTTCCCTGATCCTTTCTTATCAGAATTGATTATATGAAAAATTGTTTATTCCATATAAAACCCTTGACCTATCAAAACTATTGTTTATTATTATTTATTAACCATACGCCAAACACACATACTTAGACATATGTTTTAACTCTGTTACACAAACTGATCATTCTAAACAGTGCCATGCCTCACTCTATCTATGAAAAGATATGGCTAAATAAATATAATGATAGAATTAATTGCCTGTGCAAGCTATCTTCTGGTTGTCAATAATTATTCTGGTTGACAATAAACAGCTCCCTAGATGGTGATCCATGCTTTTATCGTGTGCAACACTGACAGTATATTATCCTGGCATAGTCTCATTAGGGAGCTCAAATAAACTTAGTAGCTACAACCATAATATCATGACTGTGGTTTCAGGGAGGGGAATTGACAATGGCTCATATAAACAAGGAGTGGGGCATTATGATGGAAGCCTACGTAAGATTAAATGAGAGAAATAGCATTGAAAAGAATGGAACCTAACAAAGCAAAGCTCTCTATTAAAGCAGCAAAAAGCAACCTTACTAGCTTTTGCTAAAGTTGTTCAGTAATAAAGCAAATAAATTCCTGGAAACCAAAGCTGTTTGCAATTAGATCCTTGGCTGCACTGATGGCCCTCTGTAATTAGTGCCATAAAAGATGCCCAAGTGAAATATTTAACAATGCTGAGGTTGTTGGAGAAAATGTAATCTTTTTCCTGGCCCGAGAGGCTGTTCTGCTTGACCAGAAGCACCCATTTGATCAATTTGTGGATTTTTGTTTTCAGAAAAATGTGCTGCGGTTTCTGACATGAAACCTGGGTGAATATATTTTGTCATTTCATTGAGTCACCAGATTCACCTTCTGGTCCTCAAATTCATTCTTCACTGATACCGCAAATTCTATCCTTATCCTTCAACTATTACAACCCCAGAAACTGACCCAAAAACCCTGGCTCATTTGTGCTATCAGTAACACAGCAAAGCGACAATGGCATGTGTACTACCTTTCCCCACAAGATGGCACCACTCTCAAGTTTGCATATGTTGTGCCCCCAAGAACTTCTTTTGCGTGTACTGACTGAGGGGTGTGTGTTGTGTCTATTGAGTGTGTGTGTGAGCAGTTGTGTGTCATATGATATTCTTCATTTCCTTTGGCAACCCTATGGAACAAGATGAAAGATGGAGACAAAACAGCAAGATCTCTTGGTATAAGGTTGGCTGTTAATCTAAACGAATGAGCAAATCACAATAAAAGGATAGGGCAGAACCTTAAGACATTCTATATAGTACAGCTGTTGTTGTTTTTCTTAATGGTATGTGGAACATAAAAGAAGTCGACATAATCAGATGTCTTCAGACATTAAAGGAGTGTTGTACACATATGGGAGGGGAGGAACAAAAGGCACACAATGAACTGGATCTGCAGGTTTGAATAACTGAGACTGACGTATTCTATTGTGCTGCAGCAAGTTTGTCAAAAGGTGCACAAGATTAAAAGCAATATCAAAGGGAAGAGAAGATCTTGGGATTCTGTTCAAGATGCCCTGAGCGGGGAGTTTGAGTGGGGTGGGGGTGGAAGGAATGGAAAGTTTGAAAAAGAAAAAGAAATTAAAGGGATGAAAAGAGAATGATTTGTGGTCTGGAACTCCGAATGGGCCTTTAATCATGAAGAAGTCACAGTCCTCCGAAACACATGAAGAAAACCAGGCCAACTCTGATCAAGGCAACTGGAGAGAGAAAGAGAACAG